TTCCAAATTTCTCTTTCTTTATTTGATTACAAACCTATAGTGGCGTAGGTGTTATTATATCTCATTCTACATATCCTTCCATGTAGACAGCGGGATACGGGACCTGATTATATGTGTATGCATATTAAACAACGAGGACCCTTTGCATGGTTTCTTGGCATATTTAACTCTGATAGGAGTTTCACTTGATCATCATCAGATAATTTATGTGTTTGGTTTTGTTTGTCTTATGAACCAGGTGATTTTTGTCCCAGATTACAACGTCAGTGTAGCTGAATTGCTTATTCCAGCAAGTGAGCTCTCTCAACATATCAGGTACTGCAAATGTGCTTTCCTCGACTATTCCTCTCGATCCAATTAATTGTTCATCCAGACATTAAGAACATGCTCAAAATACCAGAGAAGTTTAAATGTACATGCCACCTGCATTGAAAATGCTCGACACACCAGATTAATATCTAACCTTATTCCACTAATTGAACTTGAAATTTGTTAACTCTCATCTGTACTTGGCGAAAATTTCCTTTTGAGTGTTTTACTAATTACTGGGTTCCGCTGAGACATGGCTGGTACACAAGGGAAGGCAGTAAGCTCTGTGCATTTATTTGTAGGTGATATATGCATGGCGTTTAGCTAGTTGAAGTCTATGGCTGTTTAAATTGAAATTGTAGTATCAATAGCTCTCTCGCCCACTCATCATATTACATATACTTGATCTTTGGTTGGCTTAGCCAAAAACTAGAACAATATTATATGCCTACTGGTCCATTCATGTGAGGACGGGACATTACAAAAGTGAGTGGCCACGATATCTAGTATATTGAATTTAAGAATTACGAGCTCTAGATTTGGAAACCAGCCTGAGATTTCTGAGTTATGATTGTGTGTGCTTCATTATTTTTCTTCTCCCTGATCCATGAAATTAAACAACCACCAAAAAATTTACCCCAGAAAAAAAAAATTAAAAATGATTGGTTGAGATGAGCAAAACGAGATTTGCTTTCTCTGAGTTTCTTCTCCTACATTTTTGCAGTACTGCTGGTATGGAAGCAAGTGGAACCAGCAACATGAAGTTTGCAATGAACGGCTGTGTACAAATAGGAACCTTAGATGGGGCTAATGTCGAAATAAGGGAAGAGGTTGGTGAAGAAAACTTCTTCCTGTTTGGTGCTCGAGCCGACGAGATTTCTGGGTTGAGGAAAGAAAGAGCTGAGGGGAAGGTACAATTTCCTGCCTATTACCATTACATTCAAATGCAACATTATTCAGCAGAGTCGATTTAGCATAATGATCGCAGTGCTAACTATGGCTGGTGAATGTTTCTAGTTCATCGCTGACCCACGGTTTGAAGAAGTGAAGGAGTTCGTGAGGAGTGGTGTGTTTGGCGGTAACAGTTACGACGAATTGCTTGGATCATTAGAAGGCAATGAAGGCTATGGCCGCGGTGATTATTTCCTTGTTGGCAAGGATTTCCCGAGCTACATCGAGTGCCAGGAGGAGGTTGACAAAGCGTATCGAGACCAACAGGTGATGTTTTGTTTAAAGCTACAGATATACACACACACACACACAGTACGAGCAGCGTTCCATAATCCAATCACATTCCCTTAACATTCTTGAATCTGTCTATGTTTGATGGTTTGTCAGAGATGGACGAGAATGTCGATCATGAACACTGCTGGCTCGTACAAGTTCAGCAGCGACAGGACAATCCACGAGTACGCCAAAAACATTTGGAATATTCAACCCGTTCGTGTAGAGTAGCCAGCTAGCTAAATCCCAGCTGCAGCAGTGATTAGATCAGGTCAAGAATAAAGGCGGCAAGTGACAGGCATGGTAAGTTAAGCTTGAGTTAGTTACGCCATTCTCGTAAGAAATAAGTTAGGTAGTCGCCGCTGTGTACAAGTGGCGAACACGAAAAGGCTCTGCTCTCTGATCAATAAGGAAACATTGAGCCAAGGAAGAAAATATCCTTCCTTTCCGAGTGTCGGTGGCGACTGGTATCGACTGTTTGGGGAGGACACATCAATTAATGTACACAGGGCACTGGGAAAAAAGGTTTTCATGCATCACTCTCAGTAGTCAGTACCAAAGTTACATAAAAACTCCAACCACCAGTTGCAAAAGCTCAGCCCAAAAGTGCAGACGAAAGGTCTATGTCGAGTGATTGTGGATTAGACGAGCATGGTCAAGTAGTTTGGTTTCTCACCAAACTTGCTTTGACTTGAATTCTTTCAACCATTCAGGAGCAGGTGGCTTTGGATACTCAAACCCAAATGCATTTCCAAATCTGCAGTAGGTTTTTTTATCCCGCCTCATCAGGCATATGGTCATACGTCGGCTCCTAAACGTTCGACATAGCATTCAATGCTCGATGAATGAGTCGCACCTATCAACATTATCTAGGCAGGCAAATACGATATGTAATGCGTCAAATTTTTTTTTTGATGTTTGCTAAAGAATATGGCTCTTTGATATGGATTTAAATACGTACCTAGGATCTGGTTGGTGAATTGGTTTTGGATCTGTTCTCGAACATCGTCATTAGAAAATTTTTCCAGGTGGGTTTAGAGTACCTTTCCCCCCAAGAATATAATTATCATCAAATGATGGTGAAAGCTTGGGAAACACTCATCAAATTGCAGGCTTTCCTTTCCTGTATCCTGAAGCAAATAATTAGGTTTTAATAATTTGGTGGCTTAGTTTCCAAGTTTCCCCTTTACCCGTTCCCCAAAATAAATTGTACTTGCACATGGAACTCGTTCATCATTTCTTTTTGTAAAAACGTCTCTCCATATAATCATAATGGTGAAAAATGTTTCAATGAAGAAGACTTACCATTCTCGTGACTTGCAGGCGGAGGGACCCACCAATATACATGTTCAAATACAATTCAGAGTGAAACCAGCTCGTTAATATATATTTCATCACAATATCTTTCGAGAAATTTTACAATGCTATATAGTATTGGTGCTATAGGGTTTTGTCTTTACGGTACAACTTAAAATTGTACATTTACGTTATGGTACAACTTCATATTGTACCTATACTTTGTGTACAAATTCTTTTATGGTACAACTTGAACTTGTACCTTTATGTGATGGTACAACTTCAAGTTGTAAAGTTGTACCATAGCATAATGGTACAAATTGCTTTATGGTACAACCTAAACTTATACATTTAATGTTATGGTACAATTTTAAGTTGTACATTAAAGCACCAATACTATATAGCATAGTAGAAGTGCTCATATCTTTCGAGATAGTCGATAGAAGTGTGCAATATTTTGGTTCGTATCAAATTGTATCAAATCAAAATGAAATTTGGATTGATGCGATCCTGATCCTCGATCAATTGAATTTTTTTCTAAATATCAAATAGAAGAAGGGGACCAAATCAATATTTGTACAATATCAAATCGGAACGAACACATTCGTAATATGAATATGTTTCTCAAATCTCGTTTAGCATTGGACTGAACATATCAATGATAAACTCGTCATTTAAAATCAAAAGCCATCTATTCGTCGTTCCACCACCACCACCTCTCTTACAAAATCATAAAAAAAAAAAAAAATTAACATCTAAACCATGTAAGTTGAGTCACCTATTACCATAATGAAGCCGTTAATCATGGTTAGTGATGGCAATTTCAACCCGCTCCGCGGGTATTACCTGACCCGCAATGGGGCGGGTTTTACCCGACCCGCAGTAGCGTGGGGCGGGGCATGAGTATCTACTTCCGACCCGACCCGCCCCGCCCCGTTCTAGACTCATTTTATCTCAATTTCTTACAATATCTATACATATTTCTCCTATTTTGACTTTTCTTCAACTAGTTAGAGTCGATCTTTCAACTTGTTAGACTCAATTATCCATTCTATTATCAATATTTTTCATTCTTAAAGTGTTTTTCCCTACGTTTTATTGTAAAAAGTAAAATTTATTTGTATTTTTTTGAACAACATGTAAGAGTGGGTCGACCCGCCCCGCCCCGTATCCGCGCGGGTTTTACCCGCCCCGCCCCGTAGTAGCATGAGGCGGGGCATGAGAATTGAGGTACCCGCCCCGCCCCATCACTAATCATGATATCCAGTAATCCAGAGATTTTCATTAACTAGTTCACCTCAACTTCACCAAATACAAAAGGGTAATCGTCACATTTGGAAAAAGTTCCGGTCCGTGCCGTGCTGTCAAAGGGAATCCAGCGCCACTCGTTGTTGGCTCGGCGGTGCCTGCCTGCTGCTAGCTGCCGTGGCCGCGGCGCTGAAACCGCGTCTTGGTACAAATTAGGGATGGAAGGAAGGTCATTTCCGTCCATTCGACTTAAAGCCGCCACCGTCCTTTTGCGATCCTCCTGCTCCTTTCTTTCTACACCTTCTCTTCCTTTGCCGTTTTCTGCCTCATCATCTTCCCCCCAATTCCACTCCACCACCACCTTCTGCCAACTGCAGGGTTAGTAAATAATAATATTCAAGATTCAACGAAAGAGAGAAGAGTGACGAGTCCACGTCAACAACCTCTCTGACTCTACACTCTAACTCCCCAACTACGAGTTGATTATCAATATTAAGTGAAAAAAATATAATTTTATAGATCACGACAAATTGGTTCTATTTGTACAAATTATTTTTAAAATCTAGTTGATCTCTTAAAAATATGTTCTTACTCAAAATCAAAATCCAGTTGTCGAATATCATTATGCGTATGGGTAGAAATCGGTATGGCATCGGTATCCAGTATTGAATACTGAAATCTCTAACACAAAACAGTGTCCTGAACTCAATCCCAAAATAAATTTGTTATCCCACTCCCTAATTATTTATTCGGTATCAGTATATATCAAATACAATATTAATTCTCTTCAAAAATCACAAATCAAATGTACAACCCCAATACTTCTCCTCTACAAGCCGCTTCACAAACCATTATCAAACCATATGAAAACAAACAATGGTGCCAATACTCGTATACAAATCTCAAGTATAATAATAACAAACTAGAAAATGTGGTGCCTAAGAAACATGTTAACAAACTAAAACATGAGACGACTAAACCACTCCTAGATATACTACAAGTAACAAAATGAGGTTGATATGAGTTGTCAAATAGCAACAAAATGAGCTATGTGCAATTAACTAACCATATCTTCGCGGTTGATGGGTTGGTAGAAGTGAGTGATAAAATACGCACTAGCTTTTTTTCCAGTATGAATCGACATTTCGGCATACACCGATCTCAATTCCTTAATCTCTAATACCGAATAACACTTGAAATACAATCTCACTCCCAATCGCATAAAATAATACGTATATCCGATAATACAAAATATCGATTAATTTAATACTATATTGTTACAATCCCAAATACCGGTACCAAAGTTGCGGTTTACGCCCTAATTGTGCATACCCGCATAACCGGTTATGCACCGGACCCTCGATTTTGGAGAGGGGCCACACCATTTTACACGCAGTGGCAGATCTCCTCCCCGCCTCTTTTGTTGCTGACTAAATTTGCTGGCGCTCTTCTTCCCAGTCTCCTCCTGCTCCCTGTATATAAACCCACCTCCCTTCTCCCCTTCTCTCTCGTCCACCACCATCGCACCCATTTCCTTTCAGCTCCTCTCTCTCTCTCTCTCTCTCTCTCTAGATTCCCTCCACCGACTGCCAAGGTACGCGCAAGAATCCCGATCTCACTCTTTCCGCTTCCGATTTCCATTGTCGTTTCTTCATCTCTTCCTTCCCGATTTCTGAAATTCTACGCGTAGATCCATTGACTGTATGCATTACCGATCTGCCCCCCCACGACTATATTATTTGATTCTTTGTTAGCTATCTTCCTCTATTCGCGCTCAGTCAGTTAGGCTCTTCGATCTAATGTTCCATACTCTAGCTGAATTGTTTGAATTGCGAGATCTGTGAGCTTGGTTTGCCTGCCGATTCTGAATTCGGTTAAGTTGATGCTTGCTTACTTCTCTTGACCATGGAAATCACTAGATTTGAATTGATTTGGAACGAGGTGTAGCTATAGACTATTAGGGATTATTGTGGTGGATTCAGTTGTGATATGTGACCGTTTTTGTTCTTGATTACTTCGTACGTTCTTCTCCCCTGTTGGCTCAAACGTGCATATCAGCCTGTGATTTGCACTTTTTAGCTTCCGAGATCCATGTGGCTTGGCAATATCATGATGTACGCTCCCTAGATCTGTTTACATAATTTCAGGAAATTCATTTGTTGGATCCGTAGGAAATGCTGAATTCGTTGCAAACAGTTGGCCTATCTCTATGCAAGAGATTAGATCTTGGGCACCAAATCACCGTGCAACAAGTCCTGTTCTTTAAATTGATGGAGTCTGTTACATTAGTCTAGTAAATTATAGATCAGGAGAAGGTTGGGGGGGTGGGGGTTTGGGATCAGAAATTTGAGTTCTTTGCATGTGCCTTTTGATTTCGGTATTCTAATTTGGCGTTGCTGTATTTCATCACAGGAAAGACAAAATGGTGAAGATCTGTTGCATTGGTGCCGGCTACGTCGGTGGGCCAACCATGGCTGTGATTGCACTCAAGTGCCCCAAAATTGAAGTTGCAGTTGTCGACATCTCTGTCCCCAGGATCAATGCCTGGAACAGTGACCAGCTACCCATCTACGAGCCAGGTCTCGAGGATGTTGTCAAGGAGTGCAGAGGCAGAAACCTCTTCTTCAGCACCGATGTGGAGAAGCACGTCTTCGAGGCAGACATTGTTTTCGTCTCGGTCAACACCCCGACCAAGACTCGGGGTCTTGGTGCTGGGAAAGCAGCAGATCTCACTTACTGGGAGAGTGCAGCGCGTATGATCGCTGATGTCTCCAAATCGGACAAAATTGTCGTGGAGAAGTCGACTGTTCCCGTGAAGACTGCAGAGGCAATTGAGAAGATCTTGACACACAACAGCAAGGGGATCAAGTTCCAGATCCTCTCAAACCCTGAGTTCCTTGCTGAAGGAACAGCCATCAAAGACTTGTTCAACCCTGACAGGGTTCTCATTGGAGGAAGGGAAACCCCCGAGGGGCAGAAGGCAATTCAGACATTGAAGGAGGTCTATGCTCACTGGGTCCCTGAAGATCAAATCTTGACCACCAACCTTTGGTCTGCTGAGCTCTCCAAGCTTGCTGCCAATGCCTTCCTGGCTCAGAGAATCTCTTCGGTGAATGCCATGTCAGCTCTATGTGAGGCAACTGGTGCTGATGTCACTCAAGTGTCATTTGCTGTTGGTAAGGACTCGAGAATCGGCCCTAAGTTCTTGAACGCCAGTGTCGGCTTTGGTGGGTCCTGCTTCCAGAAGGATATTCTGAACCTGGTCTACATCTGTGAGTGCAATGGTCTCCCCGAGGTGGCTGAATACTGGAAGCAAGTCATCAAGATCAATGACTACCAGAAGAACCGATTCGTGAACCGTCTCGTTTCATCCATGTTCAACACCGTGGCGACCAAGAAGATTGCCATTTTGGGCTTTGCATTCAAGAAGGATACTGGTGATACCAGGGAGACCCCGGCGATTGATGTCTGCAAGGGGCTTTTGGGCGATAAGGCCCGGTTGAGCATCTACGATCCCCAGGTGACCGAGGACCAGATTCAGAGGGACCTCTCCATGAAGAAGTTCGACTGGGACCACCCTCTCCACCTCCAGCCCATGAGCCCGACCACTGTGAAGCAAGTCGGCGTGGTCTGGGATGCCTATGAGGCTACCAAAGATGCTCATGGTCTCTGCATTTTGACCGAGTGGGACGAGTTCAAGAAGCTGGACTTCCAGAGGATCTACGACAACATGCAGAAGCCTGCTTTTGTCTTCGACGGGAGGAACGTTGTGAATGTGGATAAGCTGAGGGAGATCGGTTTCATCGTCTACTCGATCGGTAAGCCTCTGGATGCGTGGTTGAAGGACTTGCCTGCTGTGGCTTAGAGGAGAACTTTGAGATGCTTTGGCCAGTTGGAGATCCCTTACCAGACAAGATCATATTATGCTTTTATTTGAGACACAGAAAATTCCGATGATTCTTTCTTTCTTACTTACCCGTTTTAAGTATTATTGCCCCTTTGCTTCTTGCATTGTCATTGTATTGGGAACGCAAGAGGCTGCTGTATCGTTTTTGGCTTACATTGTATTTTGACGTATATCTCTTTTGTGATATGGTACTCTCTTTTTTACTGTCTTATTGTAATGTTGGGTTAGAACAGCTATTCGTCTTCGGATAAACTTCGATATACTCCCATTTTGTTGGGCGATGGAGTTCAATAGTTATTTGTTTCTTGTTCTTTTCCCAAGCCCCCTTAAGGCATAGTATCTTCGTGAATTAACGTTGTTTTTGAAGTTGAAATATATCGTAACATACATTTTCGATAGTCAGTATTTACATCGCAACAATTAGGATACCAGAATGTTCTAATTCTCTGTTAGAACTTCCTTCATAAACTAAATTACAACATTACAAACTCGCCTCTGATCCATACTAGTAAGTTCATAATCATGCACCTATTTTTTCAGCTCTCCAATTATGAGTGTAAGTTTTATTTATTTTATCTGCAGAATTTTCAGTTATAAAGTCGTAGATATTCCAATGTGCAGCCCAGCCCAATTCAGGACATACAAGATACAGTGGCCAAGAAACTGCTTGATGGACTACTCGCAGCCCGATCGAAATATACAAGGCCCGGCCCAAAGTAAATCATAAATACGTCCAGGATATAAATTCAAAATATAATCACGAAGCGAAAACCCTAGCCATTTCTGCAACGAATTGTTCCCAATCCAGACCTCTCTCGCACTCAACAGCGGCGGAGAGACTCGCGGGCAAGGAAGGAAGGTAAGGAAGAATGGCGACTCCCGCCGAACTCATGAAGGCTTGCACTGTGAAGGATGTATCTCCTCACGAGTTCGTCAAGGCTTATGCCGCTCACCTCAAGCGGTCTGGCAAGGTACTCCCAAGCCCCTAGCAATTCGCTTGCGTCGATGCACGCTCGACGGCTCCATTGATGAACTGTCATTGATCTATGGCTGTAGTGTAGGCGTTTTTAGATGCATAGTGGTGTTCATTGCAACCTGGGGAGCTTTTATATTTCGTCATGGTGGTTTCTGTTGATCATTGGGCTGTGATTGAGTCAAAAGGGATTAGCTTTAGGTTTGGAGGTTGTGTTGGTTTTCCTTTGGATGAATTTTTGGTTTAGTACTTAGGAGAGAATGATCTGATTTACTATCTTGTTGATTTTGCCATACAATTGTGAAATCTAAAGATCAGCTTTCACTTGTATGATGCCTCAACAGTGAGCAACTTTGTGTGGGTTGACTGAGGGGTCTTACATCCTTTTCAATTACTTCTGTGGATTGCAGATAGAGCTGCCCCCATGGACAGATATTGTCAAGACCGGTAAATTGAAGGAGCTTGCACCATATGATCCTGACTGGTATTACATTAGAGCTGGTGAGTATTAATTAGCCATCTAGCTCTGATTTTTACTCTCTTCAGTTTACGGTGTGAGTTTACAGACTTGATTCCTTGATTATTTGTTTATAACCTTGAGCTTGATCATGACTGCAGCCTCAATGGCAAGGAAGGTGTACCTGAGGGGAGGCCTGGGCGTGGGAGCTTTCCGGAGAATCTACGGCGGAAGCAAAAGGAATGGAAGTCGACCGCCCCATTTCTGCAAAAGCAGTGGTGCTATTGCCAGACATATTCTTAGTGAACTACAGAAGTTGAACATTGTGGAAGTTGTTCCCACTGGGTGAGTTGAGAGATTTTTCTTCACCCTTTTCTTTTATTGAACGCGAAATTCTCACCGTTGGTTAACTTCTACTCTGCTGTCAAACCTGTATTGGGTTTCCTGTTCTTGCTATCATAGCAAAGTTTCCTAATCAATGTTTTGTTCTTGACTGGCTTGCTAATGATGGTAGGCATTGATTGTTTTGTTCTCAGTGGAAGGAGAATCACCTCAAATGGACAGCGGGATCTCGACCAAGTTGCTGGACGGATTATTGTTGCCCCTTGATGAGTGAGCAGGTGCGAGTGCAAATCATGCCAAGGGTTTGTTGTGGGCAAATTTTGTTGGGATATATAGTGTAGGCCTTTACCTAGTGGTCATTGTCTTTCAAAGATGTGCACTCAATCCAGTAATCTATCGACCATTATGCAGATTTTCGCCAATGTCATTCCATTTATGTATTGTCGAGTTATTGTTCTGAGAGACAACCCCGTTTCTCCTTTTATTCATGGTTTTCATATTATTACTGATGTGTTGCCAGTCGAAAGTTGTTGATTGTGATGAATTGGTTCTATCTGAATATAATTTTTGTGAGGGTAGAGTTGCCATTCACCAACTTGCCGTAGCTTGATTGCCATTCAGAATATCTCAATAAGATTTCGTCAACCCTAATCAAAGTTGCATGCAACCTTATTGTTTACATGTTTTTGAACTAACTCTCGAAATCTTTAACCGGAGAAAGCTGGCTCTGCTCAAATTTTGTTTCATTTCATTACTTCATTTGATTATTTTCACACAAAACCAAACCCATACCGCTGATAACCAATTTGGAAATACCAAAAAGACCAAGCCACCCTCTCATCACACACACACAACACTGTGCTCTATTGGCAAGAAACCCAATTCAAAGTTTAGCAAGGGGACTTCATTAATCCACTCATCGCCGTCACGAGACGATGACATTTCCAGAGGGCTTCACATCTTGGAGGGAGATCACAGTTTCGAAAGCACCCACCAGGGCCTTCACCTTACTCTTCCTCGTCTCCGCCAGTTTGCTCGCAGTTTCCTCAATCACATTGTTGAACAGCCCTCCTTGTCCAGCATCTTTCTTTCCATCCACTTCTTGATGTCTCAAAACAACTTTCTCCTCGCTCTTCTTTGCATCAACAACATCACCTTCTCCCCTGCTCTGATACCTCACACGACCATCAGCCTTCGGATTCTTGCCCTCACTTAATACTCTGCTTCTCCTGAACTTCAGCCTTCTTGGACCATCGTTCTCCGACTTTATCTCGATCACTTTCCCCCTCCTGAAACGTAGCTTCACGGGTTGTGGATCAATATCTCCAGAACAGGAAACCATCGCCTTCCTTCTGTTCCATTTATTTTGTTCTTCAATTCCCATGGACTCTGTTTCATCGTCATATTCATATGAAGACTCATCTTCACCGTCAGTCAAACTATACTCGGATCCCTCTTCTTCTTCATTGTTAGTACGCGATGATGCTGAAGAACATCCCGGAAGAGATAACTGCCTCGGGGATGAAACTGGAAGAGGCGAAGTATCGCCGTCGAGACGTTCATTCAGGTCAGACTCCATATGTTTGTCCTCGGTTTCCATTTTGATGACATACAAAGTTTTTTCCTCCACCTTGTCATCTCCCTCTTCCTTCACTTTCTTTATCGTTCTCTGCTTGCTAGTCACCTCCTTCTTACTCTTGTCCTGAATTTTGGGCTGCAAGTTACTTGCTGCCTTCCTAATCTTGTCCTCTTTCTTTGGTTGGTCATTCTTCATAGCAGATAAAACTTTCGCAGCCCGATTTCTCTTTGCATTTAGGCCTGCCACACCAGCAAGGGAAGACCTGGGAGACAAGGAAACCCTTGGGGAAGCCAAAGCTCTGGCTGATACAGCAAGTCTAGGGGATGACATGGGTTTTGGGGACACCTGCAATTTCCTTAGAGCTATCTTGGGGAGGAGGCTAGATTTCTGTCCTGATCCAATGTCGCTTTGTCGTCGAGCACTTAATCCTGCCCCAGAAAGTCTAGGGGACACCAAGGGTTTTGGGGACACCTGCAATTTCCTTAGAGCTACCTTGGGGAGGGCGCTAGATTTCTGTCTTGTTCCAATGTCGCTTTTTCGTTGAGCACTTAACCCAGCTGCATTGTTATTAGGAGAGGACGATAATTTAGGCTTGAAAGAACTACCAAGTTTTTCCGACAGGGCAAGTCCTTTAGCCCTTGGTGAAGCTTGATTTGAGGGGTTCTTGAGCTTTGCTAGAGAGGATGATGGCATGCCTTTCTTGAGTGTCTTCGATGCAAGATTGGTTTCTGGATCAGGTAAAGTTCTGAGACCAGTTGGCTGAGCAGTAGTCTTCCTTTCCCGTGATGATGTCCTTCCCATTTGGGAGGATGTCTCAATCAACCCGGAAAGTTTACCATCCAATGATCCTGTCAACCTTTCAGCCGGGGATTTCTTGCTCTCATGAAACCTTGAAAGCTTTGAGTCGGCTGACTGTCTAAACCGCTCTGGGACTGATACCTTCCTGGTAGTGGATATAGCAGCCTTTAGGACATCATTGTTGCTGTCCGCTGATTTAGAAAGCAAAAGCCCTTCTGTGTTTTTCTTGCTACGAGGTTTGCTAAAGACTTGAATTTGGATCTCGGGTGAGTGTTGGTTACTATCAGTAGGTTTCTTGATCACTCTTCTGGGAAATGGGCGCCTTTCCTTCTCCTCCGCAGCATGCTTCTTCCCATATTTGCAGAAATCATGACACGAGCCAGTAGAAGCTCGCAGGTAATTGGGAACAATCTTTTCTTCGTCCTTGGAAGATGTTAACTTTCCAGTAGAGCTTCTTCTAGAATCAGTTGAATCTGGAGTCACTGGCAGACTGATGCTCCTGTCAGCCATTGGATAGGACTAGATAACAGCGAATAGATGCTCAACTGAAGAAACCATCAAATGTCTGTGATTAGTGTGACAAGAAGATGCAATACAACTATACAAGATTATTAGCATAAGAAGGATAACTTACCAAGTAATGCCACGAGAAGAAATGGACTTTGAGAAGAGTCCTTTGGTTTTGTAAAAGCCAACCTCAGGCCTATCAAGAAATAATGTCTTTGTTATAATCTTAACCTCCATAGATAAATTTCCTAAAACATTACTCTCAACCTTCAGAGAAAATAAAAGGAACAGAGACAATTATTCGGAACTGTTTTTCATAATTTGTTCTCAATATTGTTTATGAACCTACATTTGGAGAACAATGAAAAGGGTTCTCAATCTGCAGACTTTTGGGTGGAAATGGATGGAAAAACCTATTGACAAAACCAAAAAGAGAACATACAATAATCATTTCACAGAAACATGAATCCACCATCAATATCAAACACCATTACTCAGTCCATCCCTTACACAACAAGCACAAGTAATAATAATTATGTAACAGGAAAAGTAAGTGAATCTGGAATCGCAGCAAACAGGTTGATCTTCCAAGAGAATCAGAAATGACAGATTCAAACACTTAATGTAGCATAATGCAAATGCATCCAAAAGCCATGGATCAACATAAATACATTCTATAAGGAACTCGAAACAGCAAATCTTCTAATCCACTCACCATCCATAACAACGTATTGGATGAACAACCGCGTCCCATTAGAGAATAGAGATAAAGAAAAGAAAAAGAACAAGCAAAATAAGCCGTACCAAATGGGAAGACACACCCAACTTCAACTAACATTCAACAACCAAAATGCCTCAGGAATCCCAAAGAGAAGAAAGCTAGAACCCACCCAGAAAAACCCAGAACCAAAATCAAACAGAGTCCGACCCGTTAACTCAAAAGCAAATGCCCAGAAAATTTTCGGCTAAAGATCGAAGCTTTAGGAGGAAGAAGGACGAGATAACCAAAAGTAGGATGTGGGGATTATCGAGGAGGAGCGTACCTTCCTTGGTTGTTGGTGTTACGGAAAAGGAAGTGCCGCACAAAAAAGCAGAGGATAGTGCGTAACCAGAAAGCGAAGGAAAAGGGGAAACAGGGAAAACCGAAAACTAATTCAATGGGGGAGAAGAGTGAGAGAGATTTGATTTGGAGTAGGATTTTGCCTTTGAGAAGATAGATTCCAAGACTATAATATGAATTAAGCTTCCGTGTCGGTCGACTCTGCCGGAGAAAGATCGTGCAAGCAATAAAAATTCAAAATCAAGATCAATTCCCCCCAGGCTGAGTTTGGTGAATGGTGAGCTTTTCCTTTCTCTCCGCTGCAGAATTTACGAATCTCCTATTTATATTCCCATTACCCATTTTTTTCACATCCCAAATGATAAGTATGGAGTAATTTATCCAAAATGATTATGGTATTTGTATAAAATTAAATTCTTTTTAGTAGAATGATTTACGCAAAATATAACTTTGTATTCTTTCCTTGTATTAATTTGGCCTGAAGGGGAACAGAATGTTGACTGGTGGCTGAATGAAATTGAATGGGGAGACACTAACTTTGGTTTATTCAAAATTCAATTTTTGAAAGCTAATTTGGTGCATTTAATTCCTTAAATTTGTATTCTTATTGTCACTCACTTGGTCAATTATTTTCATTATTGTAATGTGGTGGACTTTCCATTTGTTGGAATCAATTGACCGAAAATGAGATTCTCAAAGTTTTGAAAGGAACTCTTTCGTAAAGTAAATTTGCGACAGTTTGCTGGAGTATGAATTTTTAAATTAAGATACAATTGGTTATTTTCTAATATTTATTTGAGGTGGTTACGGATCAATTGCCATTTGAAATTGAAAACAGAGAAAATTCAGTTCCGTTCATGTATTTAACTTGTATTATACGCTATAGATCAAGGTTTATCGAATGCATAGAATGTGAGGTACTGCAAAATTATTTTTTAGGTTGATTTTCAATATACTATCCAATTAATTTCAAAGTACGAATAAGATCATGTTTCGAAAGATGTATGCTAATTATTAAAAATCAAGATCGAGAATGATGAAACTTGTTAACAATCAACTTCCAAAGGAATGCAATTGTGGATCTTCTTGTTGTTGCCTTCCTCTAACTCATGAAACAAATCACCATTGAACTCCTCCCTTATTTAAACACATAACCAATAGCCAACGATAGCTATCTTTCCATGAAAAGCACATGGATTAACTCTCCAAGGATCATTAATATGGATGTTTATGTCGTTATCCTCCTTTAAGTCATGAAGTAAAATAGTAAATCAACATCACACTCCTCTTTTCTAGCCACCAATTCCAAATAATGAAAATTGTCCATATTTCACATGATCACTAATATTGGTCTTGCCAAACCATTTAGTATTCATTGCTTCTAGTTAGCACAATTCAAATTTGCATACTCTATCATGAGCACTTCTACTATGATATATAGCACTGATGCTTTAATGTACAACTCAAAGTTGTACCATAACATTAAATGTATAAGTTTAGGTTGTACCATAAAGCAATTTGTACCATTATGTTATGGTACAACTTTACAACTTGAAGTAGTACCATCACATAAAGGTACAAGGTACAAGTTCAAATTGTACCATAAAAGAATTTGCACAAAAAGTATAGGTACAATCTGAAGTTGTACCATAACGTAAATGTACAATTTTAAGTTGTACCATAAAGGCAAAAACCTATAGCACCAATACTATATAGCATTGTAAAATTTCTCACTCTAGTGGAAGCACAATAAAAATAGTCTTTCCATATAATTATATTTGCATTATATATCATTATGCAATCTATCTCGTGATCTAGATATATACTCAATTCTAGGGATGGCAATGGGGCGGGTTTGCTTAAACCATCCTCATACCCATCTTCAAATACCCAAACCCATATCCGCCCCATACCCATGCAGGAAATGTTTTGCAAACCCATCCCCATACCCGTGGGTTTCGGGTACCCATGGGTAATACCCATACCCGTACATCCAACATTATTATACCTAAAACTTACAAGAAAAGTTCTAATTATAATTCTAAACGAACATATTATATCATGAAGTCAATAAAACATGGTCATTTTTTTAATATGGTTCAAAGATTATGATCCTAAAATATCCATTAATACATAATATAGAGTATAATATTTTTCAAATTATTATGTTCTAACTATGATACATCTACTAAATAATAATTAACTAACATAATCTTGTTGACAAGGGGGAAAGTGAATGAGTGAAAGAGAATTGAGAGAAATGAATTAGATTTTGATTAAGGTGGTCAATCAATTGCATTTCTACTATTTATTTTCTCAAGTTATCATCATCATCGTTGATAGATTATAATTTGATGCACATATTTTTTTATATATGAAGAAATTATCTTGGTGGGGCGGGTATGGGGATGGGTATGGGGCGGGGGAGGCTAAAACCATACCCGCCCCATACCCATCAAACTTTTTGCGGGTTTTACCCATACCCGCCCCATACCCGGTCAAAGCGGGGATTCCCCGCGTTGACTGGGTCGGGGGCGGTCGGATACCCGCGGCCATGGGTTTGATTGCCATCCCTACTCAATTCCAACTATATTTAGTTATTTACCCTATACCCATGTGTGGATACCTCTTTAGTTGGTGAGTAACTAGGGTTAATACCTTAGTTTGACCCGAACTATAGAAAAACTTTCTACTTTGGCCCGTGGTATCGGAAATTGCTATGCAACATACTTCCTTATTTGGCCCGAAGGCGGGTTTGACCGTCAAATTAGACGGTCAACCGAGTTGACCGTTAGTCAATGTCCACCTCACTTGCCACGTCAACTATCAGGGAATAATTTTTTTTAATTTCTGAATTTTGTTTACTTTCTAATAATAAAAATGATAAACAAAAAATAATTAAAGAAGCAAAAAAATTAATTAAAAGAGGATCCCAAATTATCCCATCCCCTCTTTTAATTAATTTTTTGGGAGTCTTTAATTAATTTTTTATGTTTATTTTTTTTATAATTAGAAAGTAAAAAAATTCTGAAATTAAAAAAAAAAAAATTATTCCCTGATAGCTGATGTGGCAAAGTGAGGTGAACCTTGACTAACGGTTAACTCGGTTGACCGTCTAATTTGACGGTCAAACCCGCCTCAGGGCTAAATAAGGAAGTATGCTACATAGTTTAGGCCAGAATATCAATTTCCGATACCACAGGTCAAAGTAGAAAGTTTGTATATAGTTCGGGCCAAACTAAGATATTAATCCGAGTAACTAAGTCAAGTAATTACAACCAAAGCTAGAGGGTAGATTCATATCAACAATGGTGGTCCAACAATCTATCTTTAGGATAAAAATGTCAGCAAAGAACATGCCATTGTTGGATCAAGAAAAAGCTAAAGCAGAAATGGGGAAATGGGGAAATGAACGTTAATGGAAGCTACTCGAGATAGAAGTGAAAGCAGAAACAAACCCACCAAGAGTGAACGTGGAGAAGAAAGGATCCAAGACGATTCTCTCTCTCTCTCTCTCTCTACTGTCACAAAATTGTCTCTTAGCTTGTCCCCATTCCTTTTGACGAAGAAAGAAAGTCAGAAAGCATAATATGATGATTCCCATGCAATCCCAAATCCCTAAACCCCATCTCTTTTCTTCTTTCCTCGCTCTTGAATTCAATGATGGAAAGTAAGCAAGCAAGCTTTGCTTCACCTTTTCATAAGCGCGAGGTGGGGGATACTATCTAACATGTACCAAGCTAAGTAACAACTATAGAACAAATCGCATTGGTATATTAGGATTTTGTGAGGATTCATGATCAAGATAATCGCAATTCATCATTCCTTCTTTGAGGTTAATTTAATTCTAACAAGTTCATGTACATGCTGTATGGACAATGATTAGTGTTTTGGTTTGGTTTAATAACTTTAGACTGGGTTGAAAATATGAATAATTGGTCCTGATTTATCAAAGTTCTCGTTTGTTTGATTTTCTTGAATATGGAGAGGTAGCAATAGTCCTGATCAGCACTTGGATGATCAAATCAAGATAAGAATACATTGGATATTTAAGAAAGAGTGGTTGCTATAGAGTTATAGAGAGTAACATATACAAATTGTTGAGGGTGAGGAAGAAGAGGTTTCTCATCTTTAAAAGAAACACATTCAGGTATAAGTATAACCATCTGTAAGACTCTAGCAAGATTTTAATAATTCCACTTGACGAATTCAAAATCAAGTATATCCATAATTTCACCGTCTTAAACCTTTATGCTCACATAACAACAATCGTATGTAAAGTCACAACGAAAAAAGTCTCTCATCTTTAGATGACATACGTACTATATAAGAGAATAGCTACAATCGTTTTAAATTCTTGCTAGACCACTATAATCAGTTTTAAACTCTCGCTAGACCTCAACACGGTATTGGATAATTTTCTCCCTTTCTTGGATACATTGTATCCTACTACTTACTCCTTGAATTTCTTCTCATTCTATTATTTGTAGTCATCTCAGGTGGGCTCTGCAGATTCCCCAAACTCTTATTCTATATTCAATTAGACTAGCAGTGTTCATAGAAAATGTTCAACCGAATTGTTGGTGATTAGTAGATTCTTGTATGAAATAGATTGCTTTAGCCTTTATGATGTTTTTTTTATGGGGAATGGGACGCCGGCCAAATTTTTCATTATATGGACGAATTCTGTTTTGGCGGGTACCACAGTTATGGCCAACCGATAGTCCAATTTCACCAAACATATAAACAATGTTCCAACGACAATCACATCATAACAACAAGCAACACATATCCCTTCATCGGACTCCTAACGTTAATCATGACAAATTCGTCCACATGATCCATGACCACAAAGGACACAAGAAACCCACAGCCATTGCGACTTGTTCTGCAAAAATATTTGAAATCCGAGGAAACGCAGAAAATGTGGGTCGAAACTGTTGATGCGTGCTTAAATCGAAGGTATATATATTCAACTTCGTGAAATTTGGAATCACTATGACGACTAAACTATGGCACAAGTATTTGTGCATTATCAACAGCAAGTACTAGAGACAGATGATGCTTACATTGCAGTTCTAGAATGCTGCTTTTCTCTTCCGGCGGCCTGAGACAGTCTTCTTGACTGCACCAACAGAAACTAAGAACTGATCAAGGGATGATAGAGTCTTCATGTCATCCGGAGGGAAGTAAGTTGCAGCTTTCCCCATGATGGATGCGAAGAGGAGAGATAGTGATGGCCGAGTAGCATATCGTTCCCCCAATAGATCGTCCAGAAATGCAAATGCAGCCATGAAATCTGACCTACTGGCATTCACTGGAGCAGCGAAATGGGCTGGGATGATCCTCTTGAATCTCCAGTCCTTCCCGATCCTATCTATCCAATCCCTCACCTGTGTAGTGTTAAAGAGACGAGCCAAGAAACCGGCGTTATTAAACCAAGGACAAATAAGGAACCGGTTACCCTGAAAAAACAGGATTATGAAGTTCTCTCATTACCTTTTCTGGTACTTTGCTGAATACTAGTGTCTTTACGATGGGTGATACTATTAATTTCTGGGACATCTGAGCAAAACTGGCATTGGGTTCTAAGAGATTAGATGGACCGAGGAATAGGATCTGCAGAACCATTCTTTCCCAACCTGCACAAAGTAAGTCAATTTTTTGATACTAACCCTTTTGATATGTAGCACTGTCCTTAGTTTTTGGATGTTGGATTAAGAACAAAAAAAGGACTAACCCTTCTGACGATTCATTGGATTATCGACAACAGGCTCCTCGGATACTTCCTTCCCCTTACTAAGGATTTTGACTGCTAAGCCATTCTTTGCAGAGGCTAACAGTGAATCTTTACCAATACAGTCAGGTGGCTTTCTTGGGACAAAAATCACAGCATCGGTTACCAGAAGTGATCTTGAGCGCTTATGATAGAAAGCAACCTCCACATAAGGCCCAAGCCCTGACACAAACACAGTCACATGAAAACCTGATTGTGCCGCCACTGCCTAAATACAACTGGAATTAAGTCGAACTTACCAACTTCAGGTGCACTGAGAACCTTTTGCTCAATGTCGTCCGCCCAAGGAGTTGACAAGTCCTCGTCTTTCAATGTTTTGGCACCAAAGATCCCGAAGAACTCAAGTGGCAAATTCAATGGCCAACTCCACTGCCTTGGTGCAACCCAAATGTTTGCATTGGGGAACTTCCTAGAGAACGGACCAACAAATATTTTGTGCTCGTAAGCAAATGTGGGCAGAATGATATACTCCACAGGGGCATCTAAATCCTTCAGAAGCTGTGACATATAAACCAAGATCTCTTGTCAGCGAAGCCACATGTCAGACTTAATTAATGTGCATATGAAGGACGAGAAACATTGGAGGCATTGAGTTTCTCGGCCCATAGTGTCAACAACAAGTTCATCTCAACAACTCAAGTTATTAAAAGACACTCAAGTATGAATCTTCTATCATATTCTTCGGACTTTGAGGATTCAAACACTTACACTTCTTAGACAGTATAAATCGAGAATCAATTCATCCGCATAACTCGGGTTGCTAAAGCCTACGAGGATCAACTGTCAATCTTATATCGTTTCCTTTCAGCAGGATATTAAAAGTAAAAGGTGAAGAACCTGAATGCACTCCTTTGTTGGGGCAATGGGAGCATGAACCCACAAGCCTCCAGATTTGAGCTTGATGACGGTCATTCTGATGTTTGTGGATACACTACTGAACCCTAATGCTTGCTCTTGTTCAAACAACCATATGGACCCTTTCACAGCCTATACCAACATACAGAAACCAAACCCAGTTAACAAAGAAACCATTTTGCAAGCCTAACTGTTGAAAAAGAAGAACAGAAGCGGGGCTGACCTCGGTTCTAATAGTGCGCCTGTTGAGGAAAGGGCCAAGAGGAAAAGGGAAGCCAGTGAAGTTGAAGTAAAATCTCCCATCATAGCTTCCCTTTGAGATGGTTTCTTCTTCTACAGCAGCAACTACTAGCCCCAGTCTTTTTGCGCGTCTTCTGCTCCTGGAGTATCTGGGTTTGGATTCCCAACAGAGATCCTTGACCTTCAACGATGACCCACCAAGGAAACCGTGATTTGGGTCCTTGAAAGACACTGCTAGATTCTGTAATGCGGCTGACTTGGAACCGCAAAGGTTAATGGCTCCCGCCATATCACATCCTTCTGCAACAATACTTCGGGTTTGCCTGACGGGTTAGAAGGAAGAACCTGAAGGTTGGATTATTTTTCCTACGAAATATTGAGTGGCTAAGTAAGTTTCGAAGCTATGTCTGTGACACGTGGCGATATGCCTGCGATGAAGTATTCCCGGAAGCTTTTTTTCTTCTTGCTTTCTGTGGATGGGAAATGAACGGTCTCGTTTCACATAAGGAAAATTGATTTCCCGCTTTCCTAAACCATCAATTTGAAACACATCCTCAGTAAAATGAAATTTGTAGGCGATTATGGATCGCCACTCGTAATCTCTATCTCAATCATTCGATGAGCACGTTGGCGTCATTTATAATGAGTCAATGGACATTCACCTGCAAATGATTCCATCCACCAGCTGAAATTGTGCAGTTGGTAACACCTATAGAGAAGTTATTGGACATCCACAGCCTGAAATCGTAACGGTAGGCTATTCGACAGCGTCAGACTACAATGGTGAAAAAGGAAGAAGGCCAAGCAATGATGAGTAGTATAACACAGAAACCACTGATTCTGAAGCTGACTGCACTAGCATGGTAGCATTTAATTACCACATATATGCGAAACCAATTTCCCTAATCCACTATCACCACAAACTTGTCTTACATAAAGAGATCTCTCTAGATGACCAGAAACCAGAAAGTACAGTGCAGAAGATGGCTTCTGCCTCCAGTACCTCTGCTGCCAACATAGACCCTATACCAATGGGGAGCAAGCAGAAGAGATTCATTACAAAAGCTCATGTATAATCTACATAGATACACAATGGCGATCAACATTTGAGGCTCGTAAAGTCATCGAATTATGAAGTAGCTGGCAAATACCATGATATCAAGTGATGATTTCTCTGACAAGCCAATCCAAACTGGGATAAGCAAAATAGAGTATGAGAAACGACGGTATGGCAAACAGGACAGTGATGAGAACGTACAGCGCCAGAATGGCTGCACTGGCAGGTACGGCATATAAGATGATGAGAAGGAATATGATGACCAGAGGGAACTTGGCAGTAAGGTGAACAAAGAAAACCAACGACTTCTGCAGCGATGATTTTATCCTCCCCACACTGAGGAAATGAGGATTATTGTTGCCATGAACAGCATCATGGCTTGACCTAGATTGCCGCGGGGGGTGATGGTGATTATTATGTTGACTTCCAGAACCAGCCAAGCTGGAATTCGCCGACCAAACATTTGGATGATCCTCAAAGGTAGATGATGCACGAGTCTTGACTCTATCATCATTCTTGCTTTCAACCATCCATAGTAGGAAGTAGTTCTTGCGTGGAAACTTGAGGTTTCCACCATAGACCAGGCGAAATGATAAGAGATTGCACCATGGACAGGAGATGAAGAGCGGGAGTTGAACTGGTAAAGTTGGGAACTTCACAACAGCCCACTGGAGAGCCAATATGCAGTTTTTGCAAAGGGTATGACCGCACCACAGGACGTAGGGCACGTTTTCCACAATGTTGAAGGATTCCCAGCATATTGGGCACTCCAGGCCTTCTTCTCTGCTCACAACAGAAGATGCTTCATCGTCCGAGTATTCAGAAGATGGGGTGACTTGATTTGGCTTTGAACTTGATGAGCTGTTTAAACCGACACTTCCAGCAAGACAGTTTGATGCGAAGTTCCACATCTAGTGCCGTCTCTTTAACCCTTCCGCTGTACAAAACTCAACATTCGCTTTGAGAAGTCAGCCTAAAAGAAAAGAAAGAAGCGAGGAACTGAGAGACAGTCTTGCGAGCAACTATTAACCAAGTATTGGTACTAGAACTTGAAAAAGACACAATGCGGATGAGATGGGACAATAAATCTGTAATCCTCAGGAATAAACAAGATTATAAAAAATTCACACAACACAAGCACTCTATTAATTGGGAAACATTTAGATTGCAGAAAGTATCAGCGAGAAACAAGTCTTTAGCATAAGCACACCAAAGAATTGCTGAAACCGCTCCATAATATATCGATCTTAACCAAAGACCTAACTTTCCCCCTTCCAATCACTTCTGCGAGCTTACTTTATTCGACTGACTTTCCCATACTAATTATGGTTTCCCCTGAATTTAACTCATCCCCTCAATCGAGAACCAGTTAAATATATCATTCGACAAATCTCATGCCTCAACTATACTTCTATTGCAGCATACTGATTGATGCCTTGGCAAATAATCAGGGATCAGTATTACACAAACAGCAATTCTAACAAACACATTGGTAGGTAGGGCAGCACAGCACACGTGTGGTTTCGTTGGACCTCCTCAGAGTAGCCTAGAAAATATCAAAGCGAGCTGACTTCACAGAGGTTTCCAGCTTCAGGCTCCATCTTATCAGCAGAACAATCAATATTATCCAAGCAGAGTCGCCCAGATTTCCCTCCACCATCCACCAGGACCCTGAGACCAGCTTTCATCTCAGGCAACCCTTCTTCCAGAACAGCACATACTGGGTAAATGGGAACACCCTGCACCCGTCTTTTCAATTCTTCAAACACTAGTTCCGCCCCAGCCTCGTCTATCTTGTTAGCCACAACTATTGAAGGCCGATCAGACAACCCTTCCTGATGGTGCTCCAGCTCCAATACTAAATCTCTCAGTTGCTCCCATGGTGGAAGTCCTTTCCTACCATCATCCAATCCACTTGCCAAATCTACCACATAAGCCAACACCTTTGTTCTCTCGATGTGTCGTAGGAAGGAATGGCCAAGTCCACGGTTTACATGAGCACCCTTTATCAGTCCAGGGATATCAGCCACTGTGACTGAGAAGTCTTCAAAATTCACTTTGCCTAAGTTTGGCCGCAGTGTTGTGAAGGCATAGTGGCCGACTGTGGGCTTCGCTCTGGATAAAGCACCCAGAAGAGTGCTCTTACCAGCATTTGGCATACCCACAAGGCCTACGTCTGCAATGCTCTTGAGCTCCAGTATGCAGACAGCTTCAGAACCAGGTGAACCAGCTCGGAGGGAGGGGTGATCATCAGGATCAGTAGAGTTTCCCTTATTCAATATCCCTGGTTTTCCAGTCTTGGCATTGTTCGGAACATTTGAAGTAGAAACATTACCTAAACCACCTTCCCCTCCATGAGCAACGATCACTCTCTGTCCTGGTATAGTCAATTCTGCAACATTGTATTGTACATCTTCACTTTCTGCAGTTGTCAACTTATTCTGGTTAACATCTACGTTCGGTGATTCTTCATAAGTTGATTTCGACCTCTCAGTAGCCAATGCCTCCTGCTGAAAATTTGTAGTTGGATCAGTATCTAACGTACCAGGGAGATCCCAGGGATCCAAAGCAGCTTCAGTCGATCTGGCCTGAACTAAAGATGGAAGCTCACCCCTAACAAGATGAATCACAGTGCCAATGGGTACTCGGACGACCTTATCGTCTCCTCGAGTGCCTATCATATTCTTGGAGGCTCCATGACCCCCTCTGGCTGCATTAACATGATGCTGCAAACCACTAAAGTCCCAAACTGCAGGGGAACATTCCAGGATCACATCACCACCTCTTCCACCATTCCCACCATCGGCTCTCCCACGGCGAACAACCCTGCTTCTGTGGAAGCTGCAGCACCCACCCCCACCATCACCACCTTTGGCATGTAGATTCATTCTGTCCCTCATTCTAGTCTCCTGCAAAGGCGCAGCCTTTGCTTTCTTTTGAGGAGTTTCTGAGTAAGAAAACAGCGACGAAAACATCCATGGAAGTCTAGATGGCTTCCCCACCGCCGCCTCTAACTGTAACAGGGATTTCACTGAGGTCGGCAACCTCATAATCGCCGGAAAGAGAAGCCCCCAATGGGATTTGAAGGGAAGGGATCCGTGGAACCCTAATCTAAGCGGAGAGTATATAGATTCACGAGTAGGGAAGCGCAAATTGAAATAACACGACACGAACAAGAAATCAGCAATAAGATCGGGAAAGAGGTAATTTACCAGAGGAACTGTCGGTATTGCAGATGGGTGGGGAAGAAAGAGAATCTAGAACTCTACTACATGGCGATCGATGACTACAGAAGAGGAATTGGAAAACCCTAATTGCTTGCTTCCACCGTGCAGCTAGGCGACTAGCTGCTGTCAAATTTTCACGAAAAGGCTCCGGTTTCTGGGAGGGTTTCTGGAAGGAGTGTCCCAGAATAATGAAGATAAAAAAAAAAGAGAGGTGTAGACTGTAGACTGTAGACTGTAGAGAAAATGTTGGGCGATTTTTGTAGTGGACCAATTTAGAATTTTTATTTTTCCCTTCATAATACAACAATAATTAGAATAATTTTTAGTTGACAAAAAACAGAATAATTTTTAAAATGATTTAACTACATTAGAAAGATGTGAAACTAGTACAAATCATTCTTAAATAATTTTATACTATCTTTAAGAAATATAAAATCTACGTGTACTCCTACACTAAAAAGAAAGGGAAAATAACATAGGTTTAATACACTTGTATATCCAAAACTTTCACGGTTGTGCCAATAATATCCAAATTTCTCGGAATACCACTTATATCCATGTTTTAAAGTTGTTCTTTGTCAAATCTATCCATTTCCAATATATTTTTGGTTAAATACACTTATATATCCAAAAACACCGTTAAAGAATGTGAAAGAATTGGATATAGGTGGTATTTCGGGAAATTTGGATATTATTGGCACAACCGTGAAAGTTTTGAATATACAAGTGTATTTAACCAATAACATATGATAATACATAGTTTACAATTGAAATTAGTTTTTTTATATATTGGAAACGATATGATTGATATTTGAATTTTTTTTGGTAGAGATATTTGAATTATTGGCTTTTAATCTCTAGCTAAATTTGTAAAATCTACTAAAACGCGGAAGCACAACACAAGGATTTTACGTGGTTTCCCCGTTCGATGTGAATGAGACTACTCCACGGAGAGCCGAAGCTCTCAGTTTATCTTATTAAACTCCACAGAAGAAAGACTGCGCAACATGCAGCTAGGCTGCAACAACCTGCACCTAATATACCCTCATCAACGTAGTAACCTAGGGTAATTAGGGCTAACAAGAAAATAACCAAACTGGTCCTCAAAGTTAATAAACAACACAAAAGGGTACACGGTTCAAGTTTCAACACTCCCCCTCAAGCTGGAGCATGGAGATCACGAATGCCAAGCTTGCATAGAAGGTGTTCAAACTGTTCCGTGCCCAAGGCTTTGGTGAAGATATCAGCCAACTGGGAAGTGCTACCAATCTTTACCGGCTCAATCTCCTTTGAAGCGACAAGCTCACGAATAAAGTAGCAATCCATCTCCACGTGCTTTCTGCGCTCGTGAAAGATCGGGTTAGCAGCAATGTGCAACGCTGCCTGGTTATCACAATGCAAGGGCGTAGGCTGTGTTTGTGGTACATCGAGCTCTGCGAGAAGAAAGCGTAGCCACAATACCTCACTGATCGTGCTCGCCATTGCTCTGTACTCCGCCTTAGCTGAGGATCGGGAAACTACCTTCTTCTTCTTCGTCCTCCACGAGACAGGTGCGCCCCCTAGCTGTATATAGTAACTTGTAGTGGACCTCCGGGTCGCTTGACACCCTCCCCAATCTGCATCGCAATATGCATTTAACTCGAGCGAACCATTGGCTGGGAAGAACAATCCCTGCCCTGGTGACTTCTTTAGATATCGAAGTACTCTCATCGCCGCTGCCACATGTTCTGCACTGGGACTATTGACAAACTGCGATAAAATATTAACAGCATACGATATGTCAGGACGCGTTACCGTGAGGTAGAGTAAACGTCCCACTAGTCGTCGATAGCTGCTAACATCATCGACAATATCCTCTGTCGGCTTCGTGAGATTACGATTTTGTTCCATTGGGAAGTTGCTTGGACGTGATCCTGTAACACCGGCATCATCCAAAATGTCCAAAGTGTACTTCCTCTGACTTAGGACTGCACCATCAGAAGACCTCGCCACCTCTATCCCAAGAAAATATTTCAAAGGGCCCAAGTCTTTGATGCTAAATTTTTCATCCAAAAAACTCTTCACTTTAGCAATGAAAGCTTGGTCCGTCCCAGTCAAGATCACATCGTTGACGTATATCAAGGCCGCAACGAAAGTCTCCCCCTTGCGGTAGAGAAGGAGCGAGTGATCGGCTTTGGAGGGCCGAAATCCAAGTTCAGTCAGCGCTTCGGTGAACTTCTGGTACTAATTGCGGGACGCCTTACGTAACCCATAAATAGACTTCTTCAGACGACATACTCTGGTGTCACCCGGCTCGCCGAATCCAGGTGGTAATTTCATATACACTTCTTCCTCCAGATCGCCGTGTAAGAAAGCGTTATTCACGTCCAGCTGGTGAAGAGGCCAGCCACGATTGACGGCTACTGTAATCAAAAACACAAACGATGACAATTTTAGCAAAAGGGGCGAAGGTATCATGGAAATCTATACCTTCGAGCTGAGTAAATCCTTTGGCAACCAATCGGGCTTTGAAGCGTTCGATCGAGCCATCCAGATAGTATTTAATTTTGAAAACCCATTTGGCATCAATCGCTTTCTTGTGCGGTGGAAGAAAACATAGCTCCTATGTTTGATTGGCAATGAGAGCTCGAACCTCCCTTGTCATGGCCTCCCGCCATCGAGCATCACGCATGGCTTGCATGAAATGTCGAGGTTCTTCAAGTTTGGTAATAGCTGCCAAGTAAGCTTTATGCTCCGTGGAGAACCGATGATAACTAACATGATGCGACATCGGATAGTGAACCAGGGAAGCATCCGCAGCACGCCCAAGGAGATCAGTATCATATAAATTCACCAAGTGACGTGGTGGACGTCGGTCTCGAAGCCCACGATGGAGCACAGGCGCATCAGTACTCGACGACGGATCAGAAGTTGGAACGATCGTGGGACTAGCGCCAGGTTCGGACCGCGACAAATCTTCATCGGCATCATCATGCAAATCATGCACTGCTGCATTGCTGGGAATCTCGTCAACCTGCAAGTAGGAGCAAGATCAAATAAATCAGGTAAGGTACCTGATCCGCAAGGGAGAGGGCGAGGGTCTTCCGCTGCAACAGATTGGCGTTCGCGGAAAGGGAAGCTATCCTCAAGAAAACGGACATCACGCGATGTAATAATCTTGTTAGTCGTAAGATCATGAATTCTATAACCCTTTTGGGCAGCTGGGTATCCCACAAATACTCCAGCTCTCCCCCTTTCCACAAATTTATCAAGTCCTTGGCTGGTGTCTTTAAAATAGACAAGGCATCCAAAGTTACGTAAATGGTGGTAAGAGGGAGGTCGGCCGAGCAAGACCTCAAAAGGTGTATGATTTTTGAGCAAGCGGGAAGGCAGCCGATTGATGAGGTAGGTGGCAATCAACACGCATTCGCCCCAGAAGCGTACAGGTAGCCCGGAGTGAAACGGAAGAGCCCGCGCAGTCTCAAGAAGATGGCGATGTTTGCGCTCGGCCACGCCATTTTGCTGTGGCGTGTTGATGCACGAGGTTTGAAGCAAAATCCCATTCTCCTCGTAATAGCCACGTAGATCAGCTGACTGGAATTCAAGGCCGTTATCAGACTGAATCCGGCGCACCTGGCCTTTATACTGAGTGCGAACCATCTGACAAAATAAACGGACATACCGCTCAACACCCGACTTGAACTTCAGCAAGTAAACCCAAGTAGCTCGACTAAAATCATCCACTACCGTTAAAAAATAACGTGAACCATCCAAAGATGGAGTGCGGTAACCACCCCATATATCCATCTGCACAAGATCAAAGAAAGCAAGAGTCTTAATCGAAGCTGAAACAAATGGTTCTCGAGTAAGTTTGGCCTTAAGACATGAATCACAATGGTGACTTTGGTGTTCAGAATCCGACAAAAACAAAAGAGGCTGCAAAGAGCAAAGCTTCTCAACAGATGGGTGCCCCAATCTAGCATGCCATCATCAACTCGTGTTCCCAGCTCCCCAGTTCTTCTAGGGTAATAAAGACCATCACGACATTGACCCAGTCCAATCATAGTCTTGGAGCGTGAGTCCTGAATCACGCACAGATCAGCGACGAAAGTTAGGGTCACATCATTGTCTCTCGTCAGACGACTAACTGATAACAAATTACATTTGAAGGTAGGCACAAGCAGGACACGAGTCAGCTTCAGTAGCGGACTCAACTGGACGGACCATATACCTTCTACAGGTACACTCGAACCATCCGGAATACGAACAGGTAAATGAGACTCATTCGTGTTAAGCTCATCTAACCAACGAGAATCATGCACAATGTGCTCATTGCACCCTGAATCAATAACCCATTCAAAAGGTTCAGGGGATTTACCAGCCATATGTGCGGTAGGTTTCGAGGTCACAGATGCAGGGGCTGACAGCAGCTGCTTTAGTTGAGCAAATTGTGCAGATGTCAATCCTGGGATCGGGCTCTCCTAAGCCTCTACGTTTGCTGCGCGCGGCTGTTTCCCATCTCCTTTATTTCGACGTCCGACACTACCTCGGTCTCCTGTGCGACTCTTGTTTTGATCACCAGGGTACCCAATTAATTTGAAGCAACTATCCTTCGTGTGACCTTTCTTGTTGCAGTGGCTGCAACGAATAGGCTCTTCCTCAGACTCTCTCTCTCTCGGCGTGTTTGAAAAGCGGCCGCTTCCACCGGTGGCCGACGACTACCCGTGAGGTGCCGCTGCTGCTCCTCTGCCGCAAAAGTTGGTACGCCTCCGCCAATGAGGGCGTAGGCTTGATGCTCAATATTTGGGATCGAATGACTGAGAAAGCATCATCCAATCCTAGCAAAAAGTCAAAGAGACGTTATGTTTCTTCCTTTTCCCTTGTTTGGCGACCCATGTCGCAAGAGCAATTCCCACAGGTGCATCTTGGGTTTATTGTAACGGAATGAAGCTCATCCCAAAAAGTGACCAGCTTCGTATAAAAGGCGGACACAGATTGTTTGTCTTGCCGCAACGCTCCAATCGACCTGCGGAGCTCGTAAGCTCTTCCTGCCGAACCTTTCCCGAATCTCTGTTGAAGATCCGCCCAGATATCTCGTGCTGTCTTAGCCGCACGAACACTATTTCTCACCTCTTTACTCATGGCTTTCTTCAACCATCCTTTCACTGTAGCATCACACCTTCCCCATGCATCATCCCGGACACCTGGACCTGCCTTGGATCGAGGAAAGCTACCATCCACAAAAACAAGTTTATTCTTCGCGATCAGGGTTTCAGTCATGTCGTTCACCCATTCACCGTAGTTTGAATTAGTCAAGAGATCACTCCCAAATAATTGGCCTGGATTCTTAGACGGATGGAGATAGAGAGGTGAGGTCAGCGAGATAACTTCAACGTCGGTGACGACGTTCTTGCCGCCAGAACCCCCATCTTCTCCGATAGCCATAGCTGCAACGTCAAAGTTGGATCACAATGACCGCTCTGATACCATATAAAATCTACTAAAACGCGGAAGCACAACACAAGGATTTTACGTGGTTTCCCCGTTCGATGTGAATGAGACTACTCCACGGAGAGCCGAAGCTCTCAGTTTATCTTATTAAACTCCACAGAAGAAAGACTGCGCAACATACAGCTCGGCTGCAACAACCTGCACCTAATATACCCTCATCAACGTAGTAACCTAGGGTAATTAGGGCTAACAAGAAAATAACCAAACTGGTCCTCAAAGTTAATAAACAACACAAAAGGGTACACGGTTCAACAAAATTTGGATCACAGTGAATGTAACGTTCTCGAACATTTTGTTACGAGACGGTCTATTGTAATAATTCGGCAGTTTCTCGGCTCATCTATTTTTAGTAGTTCATTAATTAATTAAGTATTTAGTTATTATTCGGGATATTACTGTTGTTTCCTAGTCTTAGTAAGGTTTCGATTTTCATTTGGTATTTATTTAGCACTTATTTATAGTGTCCTTATGAGTGAGGTTGTCATATTTTGGGTAGGAAATGGAAGAGGGATGGTCGAACCATGGTTGTGAAGGAGAAGAATTTTGAGGTTTTCTGTGCCTGTAAATATATCTTGTTCTCCCGTTTAATGATATGAAGATTGAAACTCAAATATTAGTTTATTGTCTTTCTTTTATCACACTTTATTGTAGTTTATTTGCTTTATTGCACGGAAGTTGCGAGACAAGTATTCTTCAATTCCTTCTTCATATATCAATCAAAATTTTATCAATAGAAATAGGGCTAATTCTACTAGAAAGCTCAAACTATCTAGAAAGTGTTATTTGTGTCCTATACTATTCAATATGACAAATCTGACACAAACTATATGCATTTCGTGACATTTGTGTCCAAAACTATTCAGTATATAACAAATCTGGCACAAACCACGTAGAAGCTGACTGGATTTTCTGTGATCTAATAACAGTCAACAACGGTCAACATTAACAAAAATAGTTCGTGTCAGATTTGCCATATTGAATATTATATAACACAAATGACACTTTTTGAATAGTTTAAACTTCCTAGTAGAATTAGCCCATAGAAAGATAACTACCAAGTATTTACCATTTGCATGACAATAATGGTGAGTACGATGATGAAATGTAGTATCACATCCGATACTCAAGGAAATAATTATGGGATGACTCGTGCAGTCGTGCTAGTCTATAAGATAGTAAACTTTTGTTGTTTGAAGATACACAACGTACGAGGTTGTGAATGTGTGGATTGATTTGCATAAATTTTTCTGGCCTAATAATATTAATAAAGGGACTGTAGTTTTAAGATTTGCGTCAGTTGTATACTGTATTCCAATGTTTCTAACACGGTGATTGTGTTCTCAATTTCGTCTCCCAATAACGACTCGCGTTACTCAATGACCTATCATATAATTCATAAATATTTTCCACATCACTTAGAAAATAACAATAAAGATAAAAAAAAGGCTCTTGGCTCGCTGCTGGGTCTCGTATTGATTGGAAAAAAAGCATCATCACTATGTTAAATTCGACAAGATGTTCAACCAAATTGTGATTTACGGTGACAAAGACATAATACATGAAATTATAATGTGGAAGAAGAAGAAGAAAAAAATGAACGGCAACAAACAAAAGCAAATGTTAAATAATGGAAAAATTATATACCTGCTGCCCTGCCTTAGTTATAATCCTAGAGATGCATGTCTCCTTAAATTGAATTGTCTCTTTTGTACTTTTATTTAATAAGCAATAAAGCCTTTCTTGATCCACTGCCCACAAATTACTGCACGATATATGATCATGAATTCATGATCAAGCAAGCATGGGGAGCTCAACCTCGTGCTTCTTGGACATTGAGGTTTCGTTCTTCTTCTTGTACAAGAATTCGTAATCCCATCCTCGCCGTCGCCTCCGCGCATCCCCCTTGCTCCTCTTCTCCTTGTACACAAACGCTCCAATCCCCAAAAGGCAAGCGCTCCCCAACACCCCAACTCCAGCTTTACTCCACCCTCCTCCTCCTCCTCCCTCCGCCGCATTCATTTCCATGCTGCTGTCGTCATCATCCGCCTCCATCGTATCCGCGTCCACTACTGACGTCGGCTGCAATGGAGCCTGAAATGGCGCCGCCAAGTCCTCGCCCTCATCACCCAACGACGCCGATTCGATTGGGGATGGCGCTGGAGCCTCCAGAGGGGCATAATCGTCCTCCTCCTCCGCGGGGGAAGGCGCTGGAGGTTCAACCGGGGCATAATAATCGTCCTCATCATCCTCCGTGGGTGAAGGCGCTGGAGCTTCAATAGGGGCATAATCGTCCTCTTGGGTTGGCGATGGAGCCTCGAGAGGAGCATAATAGTTGTCGTCCCCCTCGTACGAGAACTCGCTTGGCGCTGGAGCTTCGAATGGCGGGTAATCGTCTTCTTCTTCTTCTGCTGGAGCAGGGGACGGAGACTCGAGGGGAGCGTAATCGACGTCGTACAGAAGCTCATCAGTTGGGGAAGATGCTGGAGCTTCAAATGGCGCATAATAATTATCTCCTATATCGACTTCGTCGGTCGGGGAGGGTGCTGGAGCTTCAAATGGAGCTACTTGGTCGTCGGATTCTGCAATTTCTAGGTGTGGGAAGTCGTCGGCGGCGGCGGCGGCAGTGGGAGATTGGTAGTGCGACAGAACGAGAATGAGCAGAATGGAAAAGAAAGTACCGGTGGAGGCAAAGCTCATGGTGGTTATTGGTTTACCCATGGTTGACCAATTTTGTTCTGTTATTGCAATGCAGAAGCAATTTGGTTGCATTATATAGTTGGGCGGGGGATGGAGACGGGAAAATTCTTAGCGTCCAACCCTCTAACATGTCCGTTTGTTATTGGTTGGACTCATTTTCCTTTTCTCTTAATATTTAATGTTCTTAATCATACTAAATAAATTAAGAATTAAAATTTAAAAAAGAAAGATGAACTCACCAATAGAAAACTTTTGTGTCCAATTAAAATTGGAGCTAAGAATTGTCCGATGGAGAGTTAAGAGACTGGGACAGGACTCGGCGTGAGAAATAGGTGCGGGGTAAGAGGAAATTGAGATTTGCTAACGGCGACAGGAATTTTTAATGCGGAATGAAGGGGGTCGTCGTTTTAATTGGAATTCAATGGCTAAGGAGCTGTCGTTTTGGGTAGGTCTTGGTCTCGCTAATAATTTCTGTGCTTTGAATGACCTGATGTTGAAGTCCAAACAATTTGGGCCGGTGGCCTTATACATAGACACAATTGGGCTGACTCAGTGGGCTTCCGTTGCTGCGTCCATCTAACTGGTAAAGTGAAATTGCCGATTTGCCATTGCCCATTACAATTTTGATTGGGCATGGCGGCATGCAATGGGATTATGCGAGTATGTGACGCACTTGATCTTATCCAAAACGCCGAGAAAGTAATGCTTGTACATGCAAATATCAAAAACAAAAAAACAAAAACAAAAAATGGTGGAACTTTTTTTAATGGAGTTATAAGAAAATTTACTGTACAAAATGGGCCGGATAAGTCCTTTTTCTATTTTTCCCCCCACATTTGTTAGCAAACATAATCGAACACCTTAATTAGCCAAATTACACATAGATAAAGTATGAGACATCTATGATTTTTAAGGAACATTTAATATTAAACGATTAGACGAGTTCGTGAATCAAACGCAAAAGTTCTTTTAAGAACTCTAAAATTTAATATATTCAATATAGAGGAGTATTGAGATGGGTCACTTCTCGAAAAGTCACCATGATACGCTCCAAAAAGGCAAAAACAAAATATTGTGTAAGTAGGCATAAACCTTAAAACATACAATATGTTTGTAAGAAAAAAATCGAAATGTTACATATACACCGAACTAAACACCTTTTCTTTTGTCAATCCATCTAAATTAAGAACAAATTAAATCATAGCAATATAACACAAAATCAAGCCAAATAACATAACAACTTCATAAATGTAGCCAACCAAATACATGAAATTGATCACTGGGGAAAAAATGCATAAGATCCATCAATATTCTTGAACCCAACTCTTAACTTGCAATTTGGAACCAAATGAATCAACCATTCGTTTCATTTTGGTAGTGACAATGGGGGGAAAACTAGATCCAAAGAAACAAATCATAGTGAAAATGAAGTTTGATGGAACCCGACGATCGACATGGCTTGCATTAACATATACAAACAAAACTGATTGGTGGGTGCCTGGGTGGTCCATCGATAGAAGCTCGAGGAGGGATCGAGCTGGCGGAAGAGAAGAATATGTAGGATACGAAGCTGCTGCTATTTCTTCTGTATATGTGTGGGGGGTGATTGATTCAATCTGTGGAGCCCCATCGAAGCTCCTCCATCTCTGCTTGCAAATTGCAATTAGGAATGGCAATGGGGCAGGTTCGGGGTGGATTTCTTGGTACCCAGACTTGCCCCGTGGCAGGTCGGGTTCAGGTCTGGTAATTGATTACGGGTCGCGGGTCGGGGCAGGTCGACCCAATGGGTATGCAATTTATATGAAAAACATTAGAAATATTCATTATTTTTATTATAAGACTAAGAAAACAAACAATATTATGACAATTGTAGTTAAATTATTGGAGAAATTGAGATTTTTACTAATTTACAACTTTATTATAGCTAAAATATGATGCAATAAAAGGAAAATTCTCAGTAATTTGACTAAGATTACATGTGATTTAGACAAGAATGGATCGAGAATGGGGCGGGTCAAGGCAGGTCGGGTCTATGAGACTACCCATGCCCGCCCCGCCCCGCCTACCCGCCCCAAAACAGGTCAAACAGGTCGGGTAAAACAGGTCAGGTCGAAATTGCCATCCCTAATTGCAATGGCATACTTGGAGAGAGAGAGAGAGTGGCCACACTTGCTGCTTGGTTCAATTCTTGTTGTGAGTATGATCCTAATAATCAAACAAGGCAAGCCTCCTCCACATCTTCTCCATGTTAACCACGTACCCACCCCAACTCAGCTGGACCCCGCCCTCAGATTCCTCCTCCTTCATATCTCTCATATCATTTCAATTCTCTCAATCAACCATGAATGAAATGGCACCTCATCTCTCATGCTGCTAATTTCTGTGTTTTTTATTACGAATGGCAATGAGGCAGATCCGTTAATTTATCATGGATCGCAGGTATCCAGATCCGTCCCGTGGCAGGTTGGGTAATTTATCATGGATCGCAGGTCGCGACCCAATGGGTATACAATTTAAATGAAAAACATTAAAAATATTCGTTATTTTTATTATAAGACCAAGAAAACAAAACAAAATTATGATAAATGTAGTTAAATTATTAGAGAAATTGAGACTTTCACTAATTTACAACTTTATTATAGCTAAATTATGATGTAATAAAAGAAAAATCCTAAGTAATTTGACTGAGATTACGTGTGATTTAGGCAAGAACTGGTCGAGAATGGGGCGGGTCAAGGCAGGTCGGGTCAGTATAGCACAGTGCAAACTATTATTATAAGCAATGTTGTCAGAACCGAACCGGCGCATGACCCGGTAATGCGAACGGCTCGCACTTTAGTGGTCCAACCGGCATTAGACCATTTAAAAACCGTTAGAGAACTGATACCTAATAAACGTTATCAGTATAAAAAGTGGACATTTCTAAATCAGAGTTCGTCGCTTTCCTTCGAAATTGTGAAATAGAAATAAGGATTCAGTTTGAGAGCCCGACTTTTTTGGTTTATTTCAATTTTCGATTTTCTGCAATTTTTTTAATTAAATTTAGTGGCTGAATGGCACAAACCGGACGAGCGGCTCGATGGGCTCGAACGGTTAACCGCCTCGGCCGCTCTCCAACCGCTACATAAAACCGGAGCGGCTTTTAGACTGTTCCGAGCCGGTTTTGTGACTGGGTAGTGGTTTTACTGGTCGGGCCGAGCGGCTCGGCTTTAATAACACTGATTATAAGAACCACACTGGATTAACGGCTAGGCTAGTAGACTTGTCAAACCAGTTACGATAGCGTTTCACTTCATTGTTTGGACGGTTATTGATGGTCTAAACGATTTTTTACAGTTCAACATAAAAACCATATGAACCACCACAGTTTGACTGGTCCAATATTTTAACCACAATTTTTTTAAAAAATACTTTAACATAAACTAAGACCATCAAAACAAAATTATTAATTTTATATCTGCTTCCTCTTCTCATTTTCCAACATTGTTGTCGACTTTACGTGGTCCACTACCGACTGGTACGGTAACTTTTAATTTGAAATAAAAAATTATGATTTCTTTTGTGAGACGGGTTGAATGATTTATTAGATATTTCAGCGGTGATATGAATTTGAAATTGTTTATGGTCAATGCCAATTTCATTCTAAAATTAGTGTAATATACAAGTATTGTATATAGGGATGGCAATCAATCCCATGCCCATGGGTATCCAACCGCCCCCGACCCATACCTGCCCCATACCCGCCCCACCAAAAGTATTTCTTCACATGTGAAAAATATGTGAATGAATTTGTAATCTATCAATAATAGTGAGTTTAACTCAAGAAAATATATAGTAGAAATGGAATTGAGTGACCACCCAAATCAAAATCTAATTTCGTTCTCTCAATTTTTCCTTCACTCTTTCACGTTTCCCCCTTGTTAACAAGATTATATTAGTTAATTATTACTTAGTAGATGTATTATATCGAGTAGAGAATAATGATTTTAATTACATTGTACTCTATCTTATGGACTAATTGATGTTATAGGATAAGATGCTTTGAACTGTACGTATTAAAAATGATTGTTTCTTTGTCGACTTCATTATATGATAGGTGCATTTGATGTTATAATTAAAAATTTACATGTAAAATATTAGGTACTATAATGCTGGATGTACGGGGCGGGTATTACCCATAATACTTAACTACCTATGATCTTTCTTGGAAGTAATATCCTCTCCTTCCGTCCTCTCTCTTACAAAACCAATTATCTCCCTCCTTTCTTCCCTTCACCATATAAAAGACGTGAGTGACACTGGTTCGTATATGTTTAGCTTTAAACTATTATACAATTCAACATGTTACACATTTAATATCCTAGGTTGAAGAAAGAAACAAATGCAATTTAGCATGATTTCAGTGTATGCTCTATAACACGCATGCTAACATAAAGCAGGATGAGAAAAAAAATCTTCTCCGATCCATTACCTTCCCAACTATTTCAAAACTAATCAACTCATAATCATAACGACAATGACATTACTCTCCTCGATCTCTTTGCATTGTAATCAAATCCTACCTTGATTAATTTAGCTCATCTTCATTACAAACCAAAATTGTCCTACCCCTACACTACCCCATATAGCAATTCCCCTCTCCCTCTCTCTCTCTCTTGTCTTGGCCCTATCAACAAAGTGTTCTTGTTCAATTTCGCTCTCTTCTTCTTCCCCTCTCCCTAAACAAATTACTCAAATTCTCTCCCTCTCCTTCTCTCTCTACCCTCTCCCATGGTGGTTCCATCACTGTCCTTACTTCTCCCGTTCCAATCCTCATCATGCCCCACTTTCGTCTCCCCTTCCTCTCCGGCGGCCACCGCCGGCCGCGACTCCCAGAACCGTACACCACTACCGCTGAAATCAGCACCGGCGGAGACGACGTCGTAGAATGCTACGCGTGCACGCAGGTCGGCGTCCCGGTCTTCCACTCCACAACCTGCGACGCCGCCCACCAGCCCCTCTGGGAAGCCTCCGCCGGCTCCTCCTTGGTCCCCATCCACTCCAACAACTCAACAACCGCCAACAACACAACTAGTAGTACCCCCCTCCCGGCCCCACGCCCGCGGCCCCGCCGCCGTCCCAGCGGCGCGTTCGGGACGGTGGTGGACCCGCGGAGCAAGCGCGTTCAGCGGCTGAACCGGGCCTTCCTCCTGGCCCGGGCCATGGCCCTGGCCGTGGACCCGCTGTTCTTCTACGCGCTGTCGATCGGGCGCGGGGGATCCCCGTGCCTGTACATGGACGGCGGGCTGGCGGCGATCGTGACGGTGCTCCGCACGTGCCTGGACGGGGCGCACCTGGTGCACGTGTGGCTGCAGCTGCGGGTGGCGTACGTGTCGCGGGAGTCGATGGTGGTTGGGTGCGGGAAGCTGGTGTGGGACCCGCGAGCCATCGCGGCCCACTACCTCCGGTCGCTGAAGGGATTCTGGTTCGACGCCTTCGTCATCCTCCCCGTTCCCCAGGTACGTACAGACCCCACGCCTTCTTTGGGGATTTTGCTGTGATTTTCTGGACGTGTTATGTTGCGTGTTCTGGTTGTTGTGGTTGTGGTGCGGGCGATGAGCCGCCTGCATCATACGGCCGCAAGAGGACAACCGTATATACCCATCACCCATGTGATGCGTGGGTACAACTACTACAAGCTTCAACTCACCTTTGTCCTGGCATGGCGCGAGGGAGAGAATTGTAGAGAGAGTAAAGTGATGATTGTGGGTTTTTGTTGTTGGGCACAACTACGGCTGTCGGATACTAGGACCATTTGAACTTGTGGGTTGAAAATACTAGTAGCATGAATGAATACCATGTTGTTCTTAACTCACCCCATCTAGTTCAAATACTACAGGCTGTGTTTTGGTTGGTGGTGCCAAGACTGATCAGAGACGAGCAGATCAAGCTGATAATGACAATAATGCTCTTAATCTTCCTGTTCCAATTCCTGCCCAAAGTCTACCACAGCCTCAGCCTGATGAGGAGAATGCAAAAGGTCACCGGTTACATCTTCGGCACCATCTGGTGGGGTTTCGGCCTCAACCTCATCGCCTACTTCATCGCCTCCCACGTCGCCGGAGGGTGCTGGTACGTGCTCGCCATCCAGCGCGCCGCCTCCTGCATAAAGCAGCAGTGTGACTTGTCCTCCAACTGCGACCTCTCCTTGTCCTGCTCCGAAGAGCTCTGTTTCCGCCTTGTCCTGCCCGATGCATTGGCGGCGGGTAGCGGCTCTTGCGGTGGTTATATGAACTCGACTACTACTAATAGGACTCCAATGTGCTTGGACATGGATGGCAGTTTCAAGTATGGGATCTATAAGTGGGCTCTCCCTGTCATTTCCAGTGATTCCTTGGCTGTCAAGATTCTTTACCCCATTTTCTGGGGCTTAATGACCCTCAGGTAATTAAGGTTGATTACCTAGCTTAGCTACTCATGATTGTGTTGTGTGACCATTTTAATTAAGTATGATATTAGTGGCGGAGCTAGGAATCTGAATGACAGGGATGATTTAAATTGTGGTAATAGGGGAGAGGGCTAAGACCTTGCCGACTACTCCGTATTATCCTCAATTTGTTACGAATTTACATCTAGTTTACCTATGTTTCAAAGTTAAAGAGGGACTATAGCCCCTACTGAATACAATCTGGCTGCGCCACTTTATGATATAATCGTGTTAAGATTAGTCTGATTGACTATGGGGTTTGTGCATGAATGCAGCACCTTTGGGAACGATCTTGAACCAACCAGTAACTGGTTGGAAGTGATGTTCAGCATATGCCTAGTTCTTAGTGGGTTGATGCTCTTCACTTTGTTGATTGGTAACATTCAGGTGAGGTGTTTGTTTTACCAAACATTAATGGAGTTGTTGCATTGATATTGTTGGTGTATCGAAATTTCTGAGCTGTATATGGGGATGTTTGCAGGTGTTCTTGCACGCAGTGATGGCGACGAAGAGAAAGATGCAGCTGAGATGCAGAGATATGGAGTGGTGGATGAGAAGAAGACAGCTGCCTTCCCGCTTGAGGCAGAGAGTTCGGCACTACGAGCGTCAGAGGTGGACGACCATGGGAGGTGAGGATGAGATGGAAATGATCAAAGGCTTGCCCGAAGGGCTACGGCGAGACATCAAACGATACCTCTGCCTCGACCTCATCAAGAAGGTAATAGATTAAATTGAGTCCGGTGAAATCAATCAATTGAGGATCTAGTTTAGTTCGTTTGATTTGGCATCATGAGTAATAATGAAAATTACTTTGATTGATTGTTTTGAGGTGTGATCTAGGTGCCGTTGTTTCATAACTTGGACGATTTGATTCTCGACAACATATGTGACAGAGTCAAGCCAATCGTGTTCTCCAAGGATGAGAAGGTAATTCGTATAAAGTTTTCATCTAGTAATATGCTTCTTCGATTTAGTGCATATGTCAAATATCACTCTCAAATACACCAAGAATGGTGTTTTTATTGTGTTTCCTCATATACCTGAATTGTTTTTAATTTGTGGAAACAGATAATTAGAGAAGGCGATCTAGTATCAAGAATGGTGTTCTTAGTCCGCGGGAAGATAAAAAGTTCACAGAGACTAAGCAAAGGAGTTGTAGCAACAAACGTGCTCGAAGCTGGAGGCTTCCTCGGCGACGAACTTCTGTCATGGTGCCTTCGCAGGCCATTCAACGAGCGGCTTCCGGCTTCGTCGGCGACATTTGTGTGTGTGGAAGCCGCGGAGGCATTTGCTCTCGACGCCAACCACTTGAAGTACATTACCGACCATTTCCGGTACAAGTTTGCGAACGAGAGGCTGAAGAGGACGGCGAGGTATTACTCTTCCAACTGGCGGACGTGGGCGGCCGTGAACATTCAGTTTGCATGGCAGCGGTACAGGCGGAGGACCAAAGGTGGCGGTGGTGCTGGTCCGATGAACCCTGTGGTGGAGAGTGGTGGGGATGTGGAAAATAAGCTGTTGAGATATGCTGCCATGTTCATGTCGATTAGACCACATGACCACCTTGAATGAATGAAATCGGATAGAAGGGTGAATTAGAGTGCAATGTTTTTGGGAGAATCTTGCTCTTTTTTTCTTGTCTTTGTTCATTTGTTGTCATTTGTCATCAGATTATGAACAAAGCATATCCTCCTGTATGGTCATGTGGGTATTCTCATTGATACCTCCATGAATAAAGAAAATAAATTAGTTGGTTCTTTTTGGAGTAGGGTTCTTGATACCATGACAAGCGAACACTAAATGCAATGTAATGGTAGGCAAACTTCTACAAGAGGCCAATAAACTTATGTGCAATGGGATTGAGGAACTTGGAAGATTTATAGTTACAAAAGTGAAGGAGAAAATCCTGATTTTGAAGCATTCAATAGAAGTTTACCCTGAACGAATTGTCCTGCCTTCCTAGTTCCTATCAATCAATCAATCAACATGTCCCCGGCAGTGGTTTGCATGGATGCTTTGCTGCTCTGCATGCTGAAGTCGTCGCTACTATGCCGCTTAAGGTGTTGAGATCTGATGAACTCTTCGATTCTTGCCTTCAACTCCACGTCTGGTATCAGCATATCAGATGTAAGATGCGAACGGTTGAAGGGGTCCGTCTGCATTTACAACCCAAATACCAAGTAGCCCCGAAATCAGAGAATTATCAGACTACATTGTTTGAACTTAATTCAGAGGCGTCTAATGGGGAAGGAATTAGAAGAATTACGCTGTCACTAAGGAGATGCCTTTGGATGACCGGCCTGTCCACGATAATTCTTGAAGAAGGTAGTATTACTGGGTCTTTCATCAGAGTGTACTGCGAAAGGGATGAAAATTTTCAGGAATAAAATTCCTGCACTAAGCCCTCGTACAGATTATGCTACGTTTTAACCTAAAATTACCTGGATGGGGTCAAGGAACTCGTCTGGTACCTCCCCAAGAGCAGCTTCACTGTCCATTTCCTCGATGGCAGCAACTTTTGCTTTTGCACCAAGTTCAACAAACTCATGTATGATTCTCCCATCTTCACCAATTCTTCGAAGAACATCAGCAGCAGCACTAAATAACTGCAGCAGTAAATATAACCTCAGTCCTCAGATAGTTCCTTCACCCATCAATAGAACAAAATAAAGCAACTCAATTTTGTCGTTCCCATTGAAATGGAACTGCACACATGCCCTATTTTACCTGTTCATTGTATGACCTTCCATCCTTTGAAATGGCAGTTGGGAATATGTTTTCTTTATCACCTCTAGCTAGGTGAACGTATATTTGGACAATCTTTCAAACAAGAAAACCACGAATGTAAGACCATTATCAGATTACAATATGAAATATTCACAAATTCCATATTTAAGCTAACCTGCTTCAGGAGCTGTTTTGGACGAAATTCATACTTTTCAGGGTCTTTCAGAGTAAGAGATTTTCTCTGAGGACCCACAAGTTGTAATAAAAAGTAATTCAGCATGCTGGCCACTCGCTCCACCTGCAAATAGTGCAGGTTAAGAATAAGATCTTACGGGACAAGAAAAAATAATCTCATCCCACTAATTCGAGTTGCTAGGCAACCTTACTGATTTACAAGTTTGCAAAATCCATGGTAACTCACAACTAAGTGACTAACTAATACTATTAAGGATGACAAGGATTTCAAACATAGACACTCTGGCGTCATGCAAGAGAATCATGTTATTTCAATAGATAAACTCATAAAAGGAGTTGGAAAAGGTCTGTAACTGGATTTTGCAAAATATTAAATCAAGTTCTGAACTACAAGTAACATTCGAGTTACAAGTTGTAAGAGATAATGAAGTCGATATAAATAGGAACTTACCATCTCAGGGAGTAAGAAAGGTACTGTTATCTGCTCAGATGTGAAGGCCAGCATACTCACGTCCTCGTTTGCCAGCTTCATATCAATCCGGATGATCTGCACAAAGATAGAGCTATCCATCTGAGAAAAAACTCACTCATATATGTGATGATTTTAAGTCAGAAAGACACCGACATTCTCTTGGGAGTGAAATAGCCGGGTTCTTTCCTGCCTCTCCTGAGCTGGTCTCCGTTCCCATTCCACCGTGTTTGACATTTCAGCTTCCAGTTCTTTCAGCTCAAGAATCTTGTTCAGACTTTCATCCAATAGATATATACTATCGTTAATCAAGAAGTTCAAGAAATTCAAGTAAACTCCCTTTTCCTCTTCCTTTGCTATCTGCAAATGGTGACACAAATTCGAGTTTGACAATTCAAATAATCAAATGATATCGAAAACTAAATGGTCTATACTCGGAATTCTACCTGTCTCCAGGCATTACGATGACTAGGGACCTGCCACAGATACTCTAGGAGCTCAGCAATATTATGTCTGATATTGAACTTGTCATAGAACTGCAGAAGCCAAAACACGGGAAGAGCCTTCAATAACGAGTCACATAGCACATACAAACAAACAGAACAAAGAAGCTAAAATACCAGCTATAATTTCACATCATGCACCAGTACACAAAGTACTACCACATCTATTCTAGTTCATGAATGCAATAAGTGCTTGCTTCCAACAATAAACAAGGACACTGAAAAACAAATCCATTTAGCACAGACAAAACTAGAAAACTCATGTCTATTATAAAAACAAACAATCATTAACTGCTTAAAACACGAATGAAAATTTTCACATTCAGAAGTGGTTTTCAGACATAACCTGAGTGTGCGAACCAGTGAATTCAATGTCAACATAAAGCTTCAATAGATTCCTCACGAGATACTTGAGAGCTAATTGGTGTCCCTCAAACAGACTAGTTGTAGCAGATGAACCACTGCAGATACAACAGCACAAGTTATTTACTATAATTAACATTTAAGAGGAGAAACCGACATCTAAAACACCAATAATCACCTCCCACGGGGCATCCAGCAGTTCAACACTTCAACCATCTTTGCTCTGAGATAAGGGTTCCTAATGTGTGTTGGACTTCCCATAAACATGATTATGAAGTTCATAAAATCATCCTGCCAGCAATCCCAATGAAGGAAAGAGATGAGAACAGTTACGGATGCAATATTTTATTCAACAAGGAGAGCAAACATCATAAAAAAGCCTTTGTGAAGTCAAGTATACCAGAATGACTCCATCTAAAGCTTTTGGGACCCGAGAAGCAAATATAAGTAACTCCATCGCATCTTCCGCAAAATGCTCAGGCATCGATGAAAATTCCATGGGGCAAGTAGATGAAAGAGGCATTTTAAATCCACCAACCAGGCTGACCAACCAAACCACCATCAATCGGTAGAACGAGAGCCCTTGCTTAATAAGAGTAGGGTCCTTCAAACAATAGCTTAGGCTTAGGAGCGTGAGGATAATAATAAATCCAGCAAAGTTCCAGCTAGAATATGCAATCTACAAGGTGTTACGAGAGAGAAACACTAGCCTGGGACTAGATATGAAAGGAATGAAGACAGGGAAGACGATAATGGATAAAAGCAATGAATCTCACGACAAATGACGAGAACCTTATCTAAATTATTCTAAAGCCCAATGAAAAGATTGAGACTTTAGTTTTACCATTTGGGAATTCATCATGCTCAACAACTGATCAAATGCCATACATCTAAACCGGCAGTTGGATAGAGAGAGAAAAGAGCAGAAGCAACAACAGAAAAGACCATGTACCCTCAGTAATTGTGCCTCATAGCAAAGTTTTTCCTGAGAATATAATTCTAATTCCTTCTCGAGGCGAGCAATATCCATTTGCATTTGCGGTGAAGGTGACTGTTCTTGCAATGCTTTTAATGTCGATAGAGTGTCCTCAGATCTTGAAATGTCCTTGAATGGCCAAGAGAAGTGTAATAATCAATCAATAAGCTACATTACTTTGAGCAGTCTTGTGGAAATTATAAGGATTATCAAAAGAAGATTGTATTACCTGAACCAAGTGCTTAAAGTCAGAAAATGCTTTTAGCATGCCCAAGTTGAGCACCCTTGCCGTCATAAAGAAGCATTCACTTATAAATGCGTATGAAGCCTTACCACCACTTGATGCAGGCTTGGCACCAGAACTACTGGCTCCCTGTGATTGGACTACACGGTTTTCTATATCACCAGATCCAGAATTTATATCAGCTTTCCCAGAACTATCATTTTTAATCCACTCTGCAACTTCTTCTGATGATGCATGTAAGGCTGTTAACCCCCTGATTAAGACGGTACCAAACATAAAAACAATGGAAATTAGAGATATGAGACTAACTAGTAGCAAAATCTGCTAACAATAAAGAAGTGCAAAGGATCCAACCTCAAGTCCAATCGGTTACAGTAGAACACATATCCTGGATCAATTTTATCAATTTTTGAGCAATGTGGATCTAAAAAGGGTTCACAGAGTCGAAGCATAACAGCGCTGAGACTGACAAACATGCCCGAGCTTGCACAAGATATGGGATCAACCTGAACAAAACAGATAACATCAAGTATGATGATACAAAAGCCATAGTATGGCAACTTCATGCTGACATATGTAAAAAAAGATGTTAACTTCATCCCTTTCCCAGACAGAAAAAACCACAACGAGAAACCCTCACTTAGTTTATATATGATGTAATGACCAAGAAATTCTTGAATGATCATTTCGGCCCACCACCTACCTGGATATGTGCTCTGGAGGCATTTCTGTTGATCACCTCGGCAAGATACTGCAAGACATGCTCGCGAATGTCGGCATGCTTAAGTAGAGTAAGAAGAACTTCGGAGAGACCCTCATATAAGTTATTCATAACTGTCTTGATAGTAGTAAATGAAGACAATAAGTCAGCAGGCCTACGAGTTGATGCTTCCGAGAAGCAATGCTGTCTGTAGAAAATTTCAGGTGACTTATCAATAAAACCAGACACGGCGAAGCATGTTGAACAAAACAACCAAATTCCACTAGTTTCTTACTCACCCAACATCAGGCTCGCTCTTGAATATGGTATGATCAGGCAATGCACTAACATGGAAAAAGGGTCCAAGAATACTGGTCATTTCAATCACTCTTCCATTCAAGTAAGCCCCTTTAGGAATCCACCAAGGATGATTCACTAGCGACTTAGCTCCAGCCGGCAACTTAACTAAATACAACAGTGCAGCCAATGGCTGCTGAAAGTTCCCCAAAGCTGATAACTTTATGACATGACCTCTCAAATCCTCATACAGCCCTTTGAATATAGGGTCCAAGCTATCAAAATCCGCCTCTGAAAACAACTCATCAAGAAATCCAGCAGGCGGTGGCTGACTCCCTCCACCACCACCAAACCCATTTCTATCCACCGTTCCAAAAATCAACGGCGTGAGGCTGCAAATAGTGGATTTCCCCGCGAGGGATTGTGAATTCGAAGGAAACAATTCCGGATTGCCCAAATGAATTCTAACATAATTAACGAATAGCTTCTTAGCCTGCTTGATGGACACCTCCACCTGAGATTTGACGGTTTTGTCCTTCATGTTGGCGACCTTCTTCAGTTCATCAACAGCCCGGCGATAACATCCGAGTAGGTAAGTAAACGGAGCTTCGGCGTCAGGGAACTCGCCGGACAAGCGATCAATTAGCACCCTTTCTACGACATCGCGATTAAGCCTCAAGTCTTTACCTTCGCTGAGAATCTCGGCAGCGGTCATCTCCAAGTAAATGATTCTGGGATCGGCGCCATGGGCAGGAGGAGCGAGCGTGACTAGAAGGATTTTGCGGAGGATTATGTCCTCGATTTCTTCGGGGGACCTCTGGGGTTTCGGCGTCGCCATAACTGATGGGAGTAAACAACACGGAAGAGAAAGACTGCTCGAACAAGAGATGGATGGAGAGAGAAATGATTATGCTTTAGTCATGGTGGGAGGAAGCATATTTGCTTGCAAAAGGTCGGAGAATGGAGGAGAGTCAAATGGGTAAGAAATGGAAGCCGGCGAGGAAGGGAAGGGGATTCTAAATTCTAATGGTTTAGGAATTAGGAGACTCCTACGATACGAGGAGAAGTGGGAATGAGTTTGATTTCATAATTTATTAAATTTTTTGCCACACCAAAATGAAAGATAAATTTTTTGTAGTTGCTAAAGTTCGCCTTTAAAATTGCTAAATGTCGCCTTAAAAAACATCAAAGTTACAAATTTAACCTTTTAGCTTCTTTACTCTTCCTTTAGCAAACAAACACCACTTAGTAAAGAAAATAAAATATTATTCAAAAGAGAGAATCCATCATCGTCATTCTGGAGTTGGAATCGTTGATATGATGTCTGGATCATGACTAGCGACTCTGAATCGGTAAAGTTCACTCAAAAAATTGAAAAAAAACAAAAAAAGGGAACCGTAGTTCATTTGCGGTTGCACCATGGGCCAACCGCAGCTCACTTGCGGTTGCACCATGGACCAACCGCAAGTGAGTTGCGGTTGCACCATGGACCAACGTAACTTGCCTTAGGTTGAGCATTTTTTTGGAAATTTCGTTAGAGAACGGGCGACGGCGACGGCGGTAAAGACGCCGACGAACTGGTACGTCGAGAGGGATTCGCGAAGAAGGCAGATGAGGGGTTCAGTTTGAGGGGTTAGAGATTGTTTGGTTTGTTTAAATTTTGAAATTTTATTGCGGGTATATAAGTCATTTACCATTAGAGTTAGGACGATCGTTAGCAATTTTAAGGGCGACATTTAGCGATTCAAATTTTTTTTTCTTGCATGATAAACATGGTAAAAAAAAAAGATGATGGACAGTAACTGGTTACAAGATTAAATCTATCCAAGGAAGTGAAAGATTATATAACCGATGTGAATCAAATAGATATAAAGTTTTTTTTTTGTGTACTTTTTTTTTAATTTGATGAATTTTATTCCGAAAGTTTTTTTATCGTAAATCTGCTGAAACTTCATTAATGATTAATCAGTGTTCGCCATTTCGAAGATTTGAAAGAAATTATGGTCGGTAAGAATTTAGAAAAAGTAAAGTTGATGGAAAATGAATATTTTTTATTATCAAAAAATATATTTTATGAGATGGTGAATAGTGAGTTTAATAGTAGAATAGTGATTGAAGTGTGAGAAATAATTATTAAGAATATAACTTCAAGAGTTTTTTTTTCTTAAAGGACAAAGTTGGCAAGTGAAATTTTTTTGGAGGTAAATTTTAAATATAATGAATTTGTAAGTTTTAGAGTGATTAATGATTTGTATTGAAAGTTGACAATAGTGTGTAAATGTTAGAAAGTAAAAATGAAAAGAAAAACACCCATATAACGTTGGTTGGTGAATCCAATCTTAGTCACCTAATTAGTCTCCCTAGTATAGGAACTTCTACAATTTTCCTGATTTTATATATGTCGACACTCCCTTTGTCATATGGAAAGATTGACCCTTTCATTTATTCGACCTCTTTTCATCCTTGTAAGAAAACAATGAATCATTGAATCCATTGGGTAAATATGTCATTTGATATTTTGATGCACCGTCTTATTTTTCATACAACCAAGGAGTGCAATTGAAATTGCCTCTATTGATATTATCTATAAAGGAGGATGAATGTGTTTTCGAGGACAGAGCAATGACTTTATAGAAGCATAAAATATGGTCTCTCATATAGATGAAAAATGCTCGATCAAATACCGAAGAAATGAGTTCCTCCGAACATTAATCATTTTCTTCTATATCTTCCAAAGAAAAGATAAATGATTTTCCTCATATCTCAATGCTCATTGCAGTTTTGAGTATGGATATAGAAACTATGGCTATGCAACAACAAGAAGTTGTGATACACATTAATGTTCTCTCACATGGGCGAAAACCACATTACAAAGGAGGATCACATTGCTCTTCTCAGTTCTTGATCACATTTCTTCTAGTCCATCACTAAAATCAACATTGCTAACAAAGGGCAACTCTGAACACTTTGAGTTTGCAGGGCCAAACGTAAGCTCCAAGCAAAATGAAGGGCCACACATTAACCTGCCTCTCTTCCCAAGTTTATCAAGATCTCCAGGTGTAAACTACAACAACATCACAAGAACAAAAAATTACTATTGTATTTCACAGAATCTTAAATTTGACATAACAGAAGAGGGAAACAGGGTTCTCTATCAGTAGTACTTGTAGCAAGCTGTTCTTTATGAAAGATGTGTTGAAGCAGATGTAAAAGAGTCTCCCTCCTATCATCTTCTCGTAGAATATAATTCGTATGTCTCCACTTAACTGCGTAGTTCAGCATGATTTCATATACAACAGGAAAAAACTCTCTAATAAGTTCATGCTTTATCTTTGATCATGAATTCTCTGGTTCAAGAAACGCTTGCTACTTACCTCTACTGGCTTCTCAAAGTAATGATCAAGACATGTCTTTTGGTAGATGATGGAACTCTCAGTATCCATCTGGACAACAACATGAGGTTCCTGATGATCTGAATCTGATGTCTTCCCATCTTCATCATCTTCCACAAAAGAAATGTAATACCTAGGACTATAAGTCCTATGATATCCTTGTCTAACTTGTCTACAACTACCTTTGGCAACTTCTACCGATGGTCGATACAACTGACCAGGAATCTGTGGATATATCTAAATGGGATCAACACAATGACTCTCGAGATCCAGCCTGCGAGAAACAAGTTTCAGAACTGGGAATTTACTTACCTCCTGCAACTCTGAGACCACAAAGAAGACAAAATCTGTGTTAACAATGTCGTAGAGCCGGATTCGTCGCAGTTCTCTACTACACGATGGAGGCAAATTCACATCAGGAAGGCCATTGTTGATTCCCCTAGGAAAAGAAAGTGCACTAGCCCAATACTGAACATAACGTCGCTGACTTGGTATAGACACCTGCAACAATTGGCAACACAGAAAAACTTTGGTAATCCTGCTACTTCTGGGGTTTGACTCGACTCGATTCGAAGTGTATGCATCGAATTCGTCGAATGAAGAAAGTTCAAGGGTCGAATTAACCTTCGCACGGTTCTTAAAACTTACACCTTGGTTGTTGGTAGTCCTTTTACTCGCATACAACTGGAGAGCATCTTCTGCTGTCATGCCGCAATAGACTAGGTAAACACAGACCATTAATCCAGTTCGACCTTTGCCAGCCTATAAAATCGAGTGGCCAAGAAAATTGAATCCACGCACGCTTATTTCGGAGTCTTTGGAACAGAGTGCGAAAGGAAAAATCGTTACAGAAACCAAAATTTACCATGCAATGTATAACCGCAAGGTTCTTAGGATCTTGAAATAACCAGGAATCAACATTTTCACAAAAGAGCTTGATCATGGGGAGAGCTGGCACGTGATTATCGTCAACGGGAAACGCCTCGACCCGAGAGTGAAAGTGTGATGGATCATACGATTGCTCAATGCATAAATTATATACCTACAATGTACACCAACACAATTAAGCACATACCAAAGTACGTATAAATTCGGCTATAGTGTTGATAGGATTTGGATAGATGCGTGACTCAATACCGCTTGATCGTTCACCTAAGCGTGTTTTTATTTATGAAGATAATTTTATAAGTGTTTACAAAAATGTCATTATGGAGAGATAATGAGACCAGACAAAATTAACGCGTTCATCCGTTGAATCTGTCAACATTTCTACCCAAATGTAAGATGATGCTGGGAATCAAAGAACCTTGTAGTGTCCACCATGCCGCATATCCAACACCGATTTGACTTGCCAAAGTGGGTTACGATACATGGCTCTCATACGTTCGGCTGGAAACGACATCGCGAGTACACGATCCGTGATATAAGACATATCGATATCGTAACGCGATGAGCATTCGACGCCTATGCTTGGATACCAAGTTACGTAAAATGTTACTTGTGGTGAGATAGCTAATCAATGAATCATGAGTGCTACTTTGCAAGGTTGCATTTGCAACTCTCAATGACCATTGCTTTGATATCTTCGAACCCATTTGGCTAGTGCAGTGATCAGCTCCTTGCCAAATGGTGATAGGCTTATCCTAACGAAAGAGTACAAAAAGAGAACACATTTGTAAGTCAAAGCTATATGTGAAATTATGAATTGTCAATTTTCATGTAAAATAAATAATTTTCTCCCTTTTGCCGAGAAATCATTTGGAGATTATCAACGAGCTCATGATATCATAGGTACTCGACAATTCATAGAAGTGGTGGACGATTTAGCCGCGGGAAGGAGAACTCCCAGAAAACCCAAAAATCATTATGAACAGGAAAACCAGAGCTATGATCCTAAATTACAATTACCCAATAGAATAATTTTGAACCTAATTATTATCATGAACAAACCCAAATAAGTGCATTGCAAGCATGTATGTGTACGTACCTGGATTGACCATTAATCTATAGTAGACTAAGTTATGTTCATCAATAACCAAAGCAATTTCTAGGGCAAACTCAGAAAAAAAATCACAAGATCTTTAATCTGGGAAAACCCTAGAAAAGGCTTTTCCCTTAAAAGGAGGGAAAACTCAAAGGAGATAAAAGAGAGTTTCTTAAGAGGATAAGAGAAAAAATGAAGATTTGGTTTTTATGTGAAAGTTAACACAATTCCTTGAAGGAATTTGCATATTCTATTGCTAAATTTGGACAGATCAAATTTAGGGTAAACTCTTTTGATCCCTTGATTTTGAGGCAATTAGATGCTCTAAAGAAATTGGTCTAAAAATCAAATCGAACAAAGCTGTGAGCAACTGATTTCTGGGTAGTTAGTTTAAAACAGATGCTAAGATCGATTTCTGGTTCGACCAGTCCGTTCGAGCACTGTATGCGTCTGGTCTGGGTGTTTCACATCAGCAGGTCCGGTTACTCAGTTAAAGGCACCCTATCAGTTCCAATCATGTTGGCAGGATCTCAATCAATGGATGGACTTAGGTGGCATCACCACAACATTCTGAAACACTCAAATCATCTCAAGTTTTAGCAGGGTTGGCAGTGAGATCAATTATAAGGGGAGGTTCTGAAGACCAAATAGCATTTTCCATTATCAAAATGATAAGCATGTAACAAGTACAATGTTTTTGAGTCGTAAGGAATCTAAGCCATCAGTATCTATACCTGCTTGAGTTCTCTCTTTAGAGCCTGCACTTGATAAAGCTCGTCACCTCCACTTGTTTCCAGGCAAGCACCAATTAACTGTGTGATTTCTTATTTGCCTCTCATGAAATTGAAACCAACGCAAATTTGCCCGTTGCAGATGTTTCTTTGCTTTTCTTACTGTCTGCATCACAGCTTTGGTAGAGGCGTGGAAGCCTTACTTCTCTTTGCATATTCATGTGCGATGCTTATCGCGCTCTTGCTATGGCGCAGTGAGAACTCAGCCAGCAGTATCTTACTTTCTTCTGCTGTTAAATCCCCATGCCGCCCCTGCATTTTACACATTTATCAGGGGTATATCGTAACTCCTTTCACCAATATTGATTGTCATAAACTACCAGCCATAAGAAAAAGGTACCAGACGAGAAGTTCTGTCACAAACAGCATGGTGCATGAGAATGCCAGCAGCAACTGATACATTGAAAGAGTCGACCATGCCATTCATTGGTATACTGCAATGCAGATCTGAAAGTCCAAGTGCCTGGTCACTTATCCCCCTGCACACAAAAACCTCTGTCAGCAATCGAGTTCTGCAGTAACAAAACACAGTGATAACAAATATATAGATGCTTGTGGGGATATCCAATGGAGGAGGTGCAATTGGAAGATAAGCCTCCTAGTGAGAATTCATAATCTTATCTTAGTTCTAAAACAACTTCTCAACATCAGAAGCATTAACCAGGGTTCTCATTACAGGATAGCAAAGAACTATCTTAGGTAGTTTCAAGCTTTTCTCAGCATCCAAAGGGAATAATTCAAATAAAAACTTATGATTAGAAATGGCGAAGCTTGAGGGACACATACCTATGTTCGTTGCCAACAACTATTGCAGTGGGGCATGACCAATCCATGTCATAAATCGATACCTGGCATAGCACAGAAATCCCAATAATGGTTCAAAATCTGCTGTTGAAAATTGCAGAAGGTGATACATAAATATTACAACTCAAACCGATGGCATTCACACAATCATTCACAAAAGAGAAAAGCAACCCAAAATGCCAGAGGTAATGATTCATTACCGCATCCATTCCAACATGCGTTGTAGCAATTCGATAACCACGAGACTTGAGAACTTGGAAGCACTCTGCAGTAGAGTCCCACAACTCAATGTCCAACCATTTCTCAGCTCCCATGCTAACATGGCGGTTATCTCTATACCTGCAGAGTAGGCAGAGGTGGTAATATAGTTCTGTCAATTCACTATTCCATACCACATTCCAGCCCTCAGAACCATAGATTCTACACAAAGACTAGAAGACGTACTTTAACACATCCAAAAATTCTTATGTACTTCAGGGAAGAAAAAAAAAAAAGAAACAATTTTCAATCCGGTTCACCTCAAACCACGAAGCACCTTTTCGAGCTATCCGGGTTGATGACATGAACAGACTGAAACCCGAGCGCATCAGCAGAACGAAACGTAGCAGAAACGTTCCCGAAATCGTTCAACCCTTCCACCACCAGACAAACCGAGTAACTCCGGTTCTTCACGGCGGTCCTGAACCTCTCTCTCCTCTCTTCCATCATATACGGCGCCATTGCTTCCAACACTTCTCCGCTACTCAAGCACGCGCCATTCCCACATTTGAACGCATCCAAGTAAGGAAACCATGGCTTCTCACAGTCGCCTTGCTGCCGCCTCTCCATCTTCATCAGCCTGGAAATGTCGTCTGGGTTGGTGAGCAAGTGCTCCACGGTGTCCCTCTTCGGGTCGTCTTGGGGTTCATCTTCGGCCGATTCCGAAGAGATTGCTACTCCTAGTGCTGCTGAAGAACTGGAATTAGAACGGGAAGAGTGGATATGGAAGGTGTGGGGACGTTTAGCTCTGGGAGATGAGGAATTGAAGGAGAAGCTAGGGAGAGCGCGGGGGAGGAAGGGGAAGGCATGGCTGGAATTGGAGATGTAGCAGGGCTTCGAGTTGTGGAGGGAAGGGAGGGAACTCTGGATTAGGGTTTTGCAGCAACCCCTCATGTTCGGAGCTTTTCAGTTTTCTGGTTTAGATTGGTTTCCCTTTCCCCCCTCTTTTACGTTTTACGGAGAATAGCTTTGAGTTTGACAACCATTATCGCAATAATTTATATGCTTAACGTTAATTATTAGGCAAATTTTTATCCCATTATTACTCAAATCTATTCATAATAGGTAAAAATACTATGTCGATGTTTGGCCTGATTTTTAGATATGGTTTTCAGTTTCAAACACTTCTAAAAGTTCGATTATCTAAAAGCTGAAAAATGATTTTGTATAACATTAAAACAAAAACTCCAATTCAGAACTTAATTCAGAACTTGTACGAAAAGCTGTTTTAAAATAGAAGATTATCCTTATAATATCTTAATTTTTTTAGAAATTTTTTGTTTCTTTTCTATCATTTTAGAAATAATATAGATTATAAAATCATATTACTCAATATAAAAGAAATCTAACAAGATCCATTTTGATTGTTTAGAATTTTTATTCATATTTTATATTACAAATCATTCATAGTCATTTTACATAATCTCTTATATTAAAAAGCACTTCTAATAGTTTTTCAGCCAAACACTCAACTATTTTTTTTCAAAAGTATTTCTCTAAAAACACCAACCAGAAGCAGTTTTTTTTGCAAAAGTTACATCAGGGCCGAACTAGCCCTATCTTGAATTATGATAAATTACATATGACCTTATAGTTACTGTATAAAATTACAAATAGTTTCCACATGTAATATTATGACTAGAGGTGACAAATGGATTGGATCCATATATTGGTGAATTGAATTGGTGGAGCCACGATCAAGTGGATTGGATCACATGGATTGGTGGATTGATCCATGGATCCAAATGATATCAAAGCATTGGAGCCAAAATGAAAATTTGAAAATTTTAGGTACTAAAATGTTACAATAAAAAAATTATGTGCCTAAACATAATTTTCCAATGACATTTTTGTATAAAAAATAAATTTTAAGTACCAAAATGTAAAATATAGAAAGTGTAGGTACTAAACTCAGCGGCGGATCCAGGACTTAGTAGAGCACCGAGTCATAAACAAAAAATAAATGATGACTATAGTTGTCATTACAATGTCAATTGTACATGACAGTCTTTTAATTTAACGAATTCATCAAATTATGGAGTCTTCATCCATTCCAATAACATACTCTATCTCAAAGAAAATAGTTAATCAACCAACGAGAAACTCATCTCTCATTTTGTTGCATAAATAAGTTTTCACATGTTTCATTGCAGAAAACGTTATCTCCGTAGTAGCCGTTGAAACAAGCTAAGTCAACATTAGACGAATCAACCGACAAATCTATTTTGTATTGTGTATCCATCTCTATTTCCACTAACTTCTCTAGTAAAATTTCAATGGAAGAAACTTCATATTCATGACTATGCACCACATGAGCGGCATACTTTTTGTTTGACCAAAAGTCAATTTAATCATTTAACTTTTATATTTTATGTTTGGGCAAATACAATATAACTAGAATGACCTGCTCGCTACGCTTCGCAAGTAATATGAAGTCCTAATTTCGAAAGACTATGCAAGTAGCACTACTGTTAATAGATAAAAGAGTCCAAAAGAGTGTGCGATTTAGAAGCATAAATATACATTAAAGGAATTACAGTTGATTTTGTCACATTAACATTACATAGTTGTATAAATAAGGAAATATATCCTCCAAATAGAAAACTATAAACCCATGACCAAATAAAATAATGCAGCAAGAATGGAGAAAGGAGCAAAGAAAAGCACACATGGAACACCTATGAAAAAGCATAGTAGTTCTGGTTCATTGTACATATTTCAACTTTCTTCATCTTATGTTTGTACTGCTCTACTACCTTGCACACCACTGCTAAGAAGTCAAGCAAATCACAATCCTAAAGTGATTGTAGAAAATCACAATCTCCAAATCATCAAATGCAACTGGATTACTAAGTTTATAAAGTTATGGTAACCGCAACCTACTTAAGCTGTAATTTAATCCATTTGATATTGTATTCGTATTCTAGAATTGCAAACCAAACAAAATTTAAGCCATCTAAAAGCTACTAAAATGAAATTCCAATGACAAACATCAGAACACTATCAATTCAAAAGGACAATACAGGCAACTCTAAGTTAACCGTGAGGGCATGACCTAGGCATGAATCCTCACCTCCAATCAATATATAACTTGTCACAGACCAAGGCCAATTCAAACAATATTCCACACAAAGACGGAATAATATTTGAAAGTAGAATACCATTAAAAGATCACATCCCAAGCATTGTCAGCAACCAATCCATGAAAATCTAAAGTAATTCTAAGTATTAAAAATTTACAGCTATCATAGTTCCTTAACCCAATATCTAGGTACCAGGAATAAAAAAAGGACAGCTTTCCTGGAAAGAGAGAGAGGCAAAATAGAAGAGCTTGCAAGCATTCCTGGTCATGATTCTCCTCTGCAACGTCGAGGTCACTGAGTCACAGCATAGAAGCAAGAATTTTAAACATAGCGGTAATCAAGAGCATAGAGAGGCGACAAAGGCAGAAAGTGATACACATTAGCAGGGGCAAAGAACAGAGTTTCGCCGACGAAAGTAAAACACAACAATGTTTGTGAGTGCGAAGAAAATAATAGAAAACTGTAATGCAGGTGAGAGCACAAAGAGGCGACAAAGCAAGAATTGCAGGTGAATTGCCAAAAATATTGGTTAAGAAGCAGGAAGGTATATAGATTTTGAAATCCAGACATCCTAAATTCAAAACAACTCACCAAAATTACCAAAATCCAGGAAAATTTCAGCAACCTCCCCAACACCGTAGATGCAACAACTCATCATCCAGCCATCTGATGTTCCGAAAATTCATAGAGCCTGACAACCAACTCGAAATCATTCAGCTGATGGAAACAAATGAAATTATTCCTAACAATTACAACATTATAAAGCATATAAAAGGTTGATTTACAGATAATATTTTTAATGATTATGTCAGGTTAATACTAAGGCAGCAGAAGCTTACTCTGCCGAGATCAAGGAAAATAAATTCTAAATTCATTACCATCGACTCTAAAAACGGATCCATAAGTGGGAAGTCTTATTGTCCCACTAATAACCAAGTATCCTAATCTCATGGAACCAAGTTCAGTAGGTATCAAAATTAGAACGACAGTGACAAAAATGTACTTTCAATACTATGAATTATGTTTGTAAAAGTTTCAAAAAAAGAGAATACTTTGGGGTTTACGTAGTTCATCAGTGTTCACTGAGCAGCTTAAGAAAGCATAATCAACCTCACCAAACCTCAAACAGAATGAAAATGGCAGTGCACTGTAGGGGTCGAGCAAAAAAAACAAAAAAAGAACATATAAAAGATTTTGAATGGGAAATAAAATAATTATGAACGTGTAAACTTAGAGTTCATGAGAATAGTGACAAGTCTAGCCTTGGCATCCTGATAAGCTGATCTTTATCACCATCTCTCTAAGGTTACAAATTCAACACACAACAAAATAGCAGCATGCTGATACACCATGTTCATTCTTTGTCATATCTTGAAATGGCTTTTGCCAATCACTTTTTTCATTATTCGTCTTAGTGGCAAAAATAAACCACACAAAGAAAAGGGCAACACAACCAAAACCGAATGCTAATTTAACATGTAGATAATTGCATTATTGGCAACACTTGTATCAGTACTTACATTCAGTAGGTAGCTCCAATAGTCTCCACTTCATTGAGATATGAGGAATGTGATGTTAAATGAAAAAGAATAAGCGATACTGCTGTCAAGTAGAGTAGTCTAGTTAATATAGTCATATAAGGGGGGAACAACCCCTTATGGGACATAATTACCAACCAAGGGGACAAATATGCAATGTAAAGGCAACTGCACACAAAATGCAGATCACGACATTATGTGTGATGGTTCAATTTTGTCCAGTCCTCAACCTTTATATAACATGAGCATTTAATTTTCTTATTAACTTTGCTAAGAATGTAGAACTGTCAGTGGCACTACCTTCTCAAAAACACTTAGAAAGCAAGCAATATATTATTGCACAGCAACATTCATAAACCGTAAAAATACTCACATTCATGAAAATATTAGGATCTAAGGTGGAGCAAAATAAAGATCACTTCTGTCATAGCAAAAACTGCAAAATTCACAGAGAATAGTGGCTAACCTGGACCTACTTCAAAAGCACATATATGCTTTCTGGAGTTGCTGCTCCCAATCAACTGTCCTCCCCAGAATTTATAGTACAGGTACTCCAGTTTTTGGTTAGTCCAAAGGCAAGCATTACCTGCACATTTATGCACCACATACATTTAATAGATAACCAAAACTACCATTTTGATCTCAATAAGGAAAAGAACACAGACCTAAAAATCCCATGAAGAGGTCACACGTAAGGGAACTGACATACATTTTTTTTATGGAGTTAGACTCAAAGGACAGTTAAAATAGGGGAAGTCCCCTAACTATGCTTCCCCACTATTATTAATCAACCTGCCATCTGTGAAGGACCTCTACCGAGTTTTCCACACTCGGAAATCAAACGAAATGGAAAAAGAAAGCTTAAATGGGTCGATCATGGACGTCAATGCAGATATAGAACCCAAAATACTAAAAAGGTAAAATCGAGAGCTCACGTTCGTTTATACAACTCCCTTGACTCTTGTCACAGTAAATCCGGAAGATAGAGAAAGAGAGTCCTAACATAGAAGTTCCTCCACCGAATGAATCTTTGACAACAACAAAACTAATTAGATCAAAGTGAAACGGAGGGAGAAATTTCAAATGTTGTTTCTGGTTCGCTTGCGCGCTCTGACGACTCTAAAGTTCAGATCGGTTGTCAACTCCAAAACACGGAATCGCTATCCGAAATAGCAAACAAAAGCGATGAATCAGAAAGATAAAACAGGACAGATTACCAGGGGGAGAAGGGAAAATGAGAAGGAAAAGAGACTATGCCTAGCCACTGTCTCAAGAGGATATGATTACGACGATGTTGCGAACGGTGTCTTACCTCCCCAAATCCTCATCAACGAATTTGATTATAAAATCTCCAAGACCAGACATGCTCTTCTGAAACAGGAAAAGAGAGCATGATCACATTCAAGAAAAATCAGAAAACAATAACCTAAAAACGAAAACCCAAAACATCGAACCTGCTTCTTCCCCAACCCGACCGTCAATCTCTCAAACCCGACAATCAATCAAAACCTGAAACCCAACTCATATATGATTGGGGGATGGGAGGAAAAAGCCAAGGAATTGCCATTCAGTAACCTCAGAAAAAAGGGAAAAAATGGCAGGAGAAAGGAGAAGGAGGGTGGGGGAGAGAGAGAGACCTGAGTTCACGACGACGGGAGGGAAGGTTTCGCAAGGCAGACATCTAACGGTCCAGCAGCATTTCGCTGAGATTCCACGATCAACTCAGCTCTCAGAAAATCCCATCAACTCAAAGGGCAAGAGAATCAGCATGCTCTGGCTGGAGAATCGGCCACACACCATCTTGGGATTTCCGCTTCGTCGGAGAGGGATCCTCACAACCAAGACTTCTTCGTGAGGAACCGTTTGGGCAACAGAAACCAGAGAACATAATTAAGAAGATGCATCTAATCATAACAAATGAGAGAGATGAAGCAAAACCATCAATATCGACTTATCACCTTCAAACGTCAGGGCAAGCAAATCTGGTTTCCTTCCGTCGCCAATCTCGTTCTCCCCTATGGACCCTCTTCAACATGGATTTATAACCCAAACCACAGATCTTCAGATTGGTAGCTTTTCGCTGGAATTGATGACCATCTCCGGGGCTTATGAACTCGGTGTCGGTATCTTCTAATAATGCATAGGTTGAGAGTGATGGAGAACGAATCTGTCTAGCAAAAAGAAAAAACCATAAGAAACCCACCTTGCGGTTCTGTGTATCCTCCGATTTCTCTCACCCTCCCAAATTAGCCAATTTATAGAAGAACGAACAGAGTGGAAAGAGCTGAGAAAAAGAGTTGAAAGAGCTGAAGAGACGCTTACCAACTCCTGATTACTCCGAGAGTCCTCTCCCCTCAAGACTGACGCGAGTTTTCTCTCAACCAGAAAAGGAAAAAACCAAAGAGGGAAAATGAAAAGTCGAGAAGAGAGTAGAATTAAATAAGAACGAACCTGGAGTGGAGGGGAGAGTTTAGAGAAGAGAAGAACAAACAAAATATAGGGATCTCACCCTTGTCTAGTTCCCCTCTCTTGCGGAATCCTCATATGAAAGTTGGCTTTCCTCACATCTTCTCCCAACCACGGTTCTGAATCCCAGATAACAAACCTAAAATCCAAACACAGAGAAGGTTGTTGAAAAACACACGAAACCTACAAGATCACAGTCGATAAAGGAGAGAGAGACCTGAGATTCACCTTTCGGCCGCTCAAGTTCACCTTCTTCGGTGACCGCTCCAAGCTACTGAATCTTCGAATCTTCTCTTTGTCGCCGCAGGTCATCGAATGATTCTCTGGTCGGCGTTTCCCTACCCCGGGTCTGAGATGAGAGAGAGAGAGAGAGAGAGAGAGAAAGAGATGAGGTAAGACTGAGGTTTCTGCTCGAAGCCATAGCGTAGAGAGAATGGAGTTGGAGAAGGAGTGTGAGTGAAAGAGAGAGAGGGAGTGAAGGAGAGAGAACATCGTTGGGTTTGTTCCAGTTTCTAGAAAGGGTAAAGCAAGCACTGGTAGGTGAAATAAGTGGACCAAAATAAAACGCCAACGTGGCCTTTAGATCCACCAATAACCCACTAAAAATATCTCTGCATCTCTTTCTTTTCTTGGGCCATACACTTGAGACCGGCGCGATTTCCGTGGCAGAGGAAAGGAGCAAGAGAGAAGGCCGAAGCTGCTGCAGAAACATGGCAAAACAGGCCACTACAGTGCATCAACTAATCACAGGCCAATGAATAGTAAATTGTGTCTGGTTAAACAGTAAAGTAGCCTGCCTGAGCAGAGATCGGTTGTTTGTGCAAATTACTCTTCTTAATAATAATAATTGATGTACTCTACCGAATTCAACTCTCATTAATCGGGTCGAACACTTGAGACCGGCGCGATTTCCGCATCTCTTTCTGTTTCTTGGGTCATACACTTGAGAATGGCGCGATTTCCGTGGCAGAGGAAAGGAGCAAGAGAGAAGGCCGAAGCTGCTGCAGAAACATGGCAAAACAGGCCACTACAGTGCATCAACTAATCACAGGCCAATGAATAGTAAATTGTGTCTGGTTAAACAGTAAAGTAGCCTGCTTGAGCAGAGATCGGTTGTTTGTGAAAATTACTCTTCTTAATAATAATAATTGATGTACTCTACCGAATTCAACTCTCATTAATCGGGTCGAATTAGGTCTATTTAAGCGTGTAAAACTCGTTATCAATCCAAAATTTGAAAAAAAATCGAGTTCAACTCGCTTTAACCAGGTCTAATACCATTAATTTGAGTAAATTAGAAGCTTAATTGAGAAAATCTCCTCCAGGATCCAATGATTTAAACGTGCAAAAACTCGGTGTAAGCCAAAATTTGTCAACACTTATTTGGATTTGAGTTCAATGTCATAAAAGGGTTTGTAAAATCGATAAAACTCGTCCCACACCCCGACTTTTGAAACACTGGATTCAACTCGATTTTACTGGCTTGATTAAGCGGTCCGAGTTTTTAAAAAAAATCCACACCTCACCGAACTCGATAATTACAGAAGCGGGTAAAAACCGTTCCCGACCCTAAATTCATCAACACTGGATTCAACTCGCTTTGACTGGCTTGATAAAGCATACCGGGGTTTCAACAAAAAAAAATAAAAAACACACCCACTCAACCCGCCAATTACAAAAGTGGGTAAAACTCATCCCGACCCCAAAAATTTCAACACTGGATTCGACTCGCTTTGGCCGGATTGAATTACAAAAGTGGGTAAAACTCGTCCCCACCCAAAAAAATTCAACACTGGATCCAACTCGCTTTGACCGGCTTGATAAAGTTGGGTGAGATTTTTAACAAAATCAACACCCGACCCAACAAAAGCGGGTAAAATTCGTTCCCGACCAAGAATTCGGCAACACTGGGACCGGGTGAATTAGGTTGAATATAGTTTTTAACAAAAGCAAAAAAGTGGGTAAAACTCGTCCCGACCCAAAAACTTTCAACACTGGATCCAACTCACTTTGACCGGCTTGATAAAGCGGGTCGAGATTTTTAACAAAATCAATACCCGACCCAACAAAAGCGGGTAAAATTTGTTCCCGACCAAAATTCGGCAACACCGGGACCAGGTTGAATTAGGTTGAATATAGTTTTTAACAAAAGCCACACCCGACCCAATTCGTTATTTACAAAAGTTGATAACATTTTGTATCGAATTAGATTGAGTACACATAAATCTATATACAATTGGGTTTATAAAAAAAGAAGGAAAGCAAAAGAGACAAAGACAAAAAACCCAAAAGTATGCAGAGAACGTTCTTGACATTGTCAAATGGAAGGAACACTTCGAATAAGCAAACAACTGGTCTCGAACATTCGTAGGTTGCGCTAAAAACACGTAAAAACGAAGTCAGGCAACAACAAAAAGAAGAGGGCACTAACCACCAACACGTTTAAGCATGAGGCCAAAAAAAAAACATCACTGACCAAGCATCCGCCATTAAGTAAAAGTATTTAACAGATCGATTTCATACATAAATCGAAAAAAGGAAAAAGGTAGGAAAGCAAAAAAACAACTGGCAACAACAAATGCGAAGGATGGTTGGTTTGTGGCTTACGCTTTCGCAGGAGAAGTAAGACCACAACACAGAAGAAAAAAAGGAAGCAGCATTGACACTCGTACAGACAAAACACTATTTAGTGCGTGTTGCGTTCACAACACAGAAAATCGAAGTTGGAGAACAGGCAGACAACACAAAAATACGGAAGGAAACGAATACAACCGAAACAAAAGATAAGAAATCGAGGAAAGCAAAACTAAAGCTAGAAAGCAACAAAGAAAACGGGAACAACAATTCTAGAGCGGCGCGCTAAAAAAAAGAAAGTAAAGTCGAGCAACAGACACAACGCAACAAGCGCGCAATTAAACGAACCAAGCAAGCATAGGAACAAAAAAAAACCTAGACCGGCACGCTACAAAAAAAACAAAGCAAAGTCAAGCAGCAAACACAACGCAACAATCCGCGATTAAACGAACCAAGCAATCAGAGGAACAAAAAAGAACCACCAAACTAAAAGACAATAACCAAATGGCCCACTAACCAATCATTTGCATGATGTGACTATAAGTAATAGTAACCATCTTACTTGCTCTTTAATAAGAAGAATATCCATAAGACCATAACTATTATAATAATCATATGGGAGCTAGGAGTTAAAAATGAGAGAGAACGAGGTTGACGAATGTATAGTTACCTATCTAGGCAGGGAATAATTATCATATGCCGGAAATACGTCTTCTTGTGCGGATCTATGTGCGAAGTAGGAAGGTATCGCCGGAAATATAATGCCGGCCGGCCTAAACATCTACAAAGAGCACCAAAGACAGAACTGAGAGTAAAGAGAATATCGCTAACAAAACTGTCTTCTTCATTTTATTATTGAATTTCCTAAGGCTGCAATTATCCTCCGCATATGGCAGCTAGCCAGGCTCAAAATTTTGGGCTCATGTCTCTCTGCCTGATCGATCGAGCACTATATATAAGGCCGGCTGGAATATATCATTTGTCAAACAGAGGAAGAAGAAAAAAAGAAAAAAAAGAAACTTAATTTCTTAAACAAATACAATATATAAGAACGACGATGATGATGAAGTCTGGATTCATGTTGAGAAGAAGGACCTCCCCATTTCTTCTTCTGGCGGCGATGGTTGCCGCAGTACTTTTTCTCCACGGCGCCGATGTTGGCCGATCTCCAATCTTTGCAGGTGATTATACGTTCAATGAATTCCATTCGTTTTTCTCCATGCATAATTCCTCTCGATCTCTACTGCATGTTATATGTTAATTAGCAAGTTACTGATGAACTGAAACTTGCTTTACGGCCGTAATATATAATACGCTGTGTGTTACATATATAGCTGCGCATGTGAAGCATTGTACAGGAGTAACAGTGGTGAGTTCAACAGACACGTGCTGCGATGTGGTGAGAAAAGACGGCATCACAATGAAGCAGCTCTTCCATTTAAACCCGCATCTGGATTGCGATAAAATCCGCTACGGGATGACACTCTGCACCAGCGGTTAAAATTGATGAACGATATATATAATAATGTTAACTTATTAAATGTTACTGCATGCAGACATTGCGTTGCCGACGTACCTTTTGTAACAGTTTCTCCTGCGCAGCTGGTTTAACGACGACGACTAGCTGTAGAAAGAAGATACTAGTTCTATAGTATTGCCGGTTGGCAGCTGCCACTTCTAGATCTCCAAGAGTCGTAGTCAAAATATATATATATATATATATATATATATATATATATATATATAGTTTGAGAAAATAAACAGCACTACTGTTGTAGCCATGGAGTTCTTCCGTCTGAAAGAAATAAAATTAGCATTTTATAATGAGTACTTGACATGCTACGATACAACACCAAACTACGACCAAGTGTAATCGCAGAATGGATATGCAGTATAGCGGGTAAGTTTAATTTATCAATCTGGGGTCTAGATCTATTGCCTACTCCATGAACTTCTATTATCTAGCGGGACTAAGTGAGTGAATTTGATTTAAAGCTAAAGCAGAAAGAAAGCAGTAAATTGTCCGGTTTTCTGAAGCAAGAGAAGAGTCACTCGGGAATGAGTCCCCCTAGCTCCTTAGTTAGGTTCAAGTTGTAATTTCCTTTTGTTGATTTACCGTTGATTAAATTGCGGAAAAGATCCGACAGTAGCTTGGAATCTCTTAAGCTGACCAAGCCCTCTCAGACAGACTACCCGGCAGACGACTAGTCTTCACCGGGCTAGAATGTTAAGGCAATTAATACAGAACTCCACTACTGGATAGAAACTCCAGTACAAAGCAGTGAATTGACCGACTCTCGTACAATCAATTCACTCCTATCGATTGAAGAATATCTAACAACCTTATCAGATTCTATCTATCTCAAGTTACGGCAGAATTCAAGAGAAGTTGATCAGGATTCAATTGACTCAATAAACACGCTTCAATCGATTATAATCAAACAATATATCAATCCAAACGTCATTACAATCATGATCACTAACACATGGAACTACGGTTCTTCATACCCAAGTGAGAGAAGGGTCTACTCCATAGAGAGAGAGAGAGAGAGAGAGAAACAGAATTCAAAGCAGTCATACTCATAAAAATTAGAATTATCTGCTATGTGATGTCAATCTTCACTCCTGGGGATGCTATATGGGCTTTAATGGTGAAAAATCCACTCCAAATAGCTCCTAGGGTTTGTTTTTCGCACTTTCTCTCTCTAGGACTCTGTTTTTTTTGCTCAAAAAGTCGTCTCCCTCTCTCAAAGACCCGAAATTGGGTTAAAAACCAAGAATTCCATGATCACACGGTTGTGTGAAATTCCCAACATGCCCGTGTAACTCACAAAACGCGACGTTCGATTTAGTGACTCATGGTGCGCTACACGGCCAGAACGGCACGACCGTGTGGAAATCTGGTCATCCCGTGTGGCGTCTCTGGAAATCCCACACAGCCAAAAGTGACCCTTGCAAGGTCCGTACCGCCTTGACCGCGCAAAGGTGTCACGCGGCCAAGTCACACGGCCGTGTGGGAGTTTGGGTCAGGCCGTGTGGCTTCCTTTCCTTCCCATCAACCGTCCAAACGTTGTCCAATCGACCCAAAACTCATGCCCAAGCCTTCATTCACGTACTAGGACCTGAAATATCACAAACAAAAGCACCCTAGCATGAAATCGATTTAAAACACTAGAAATGAGACTCAAACCATATAAGAATGATGAACAAAAACGTGTGCAAATATCTAATTATCAGTACTTGTATCTTGTCTCACCATCCAAATAATCTACTCTTTTTTTTCCAATGAATGAGTTCCATGGAAATATGGTTTACTTCATTGATTACAAGTATAGGCTTGAACTCTGATAATAATCTAGTCGAATATATTAACTATCATTTAACTAAAAACCAAAAACTACATATATAGAAAATAGAATTTAGGGGTCGTTTGCTTGTTGGATTTGAAAAATGAGGGTTTTGGCCAATAAAAACCTTGGGATTTATGTTGGATTTATTGGATTATGGATTTGAAGAGTCTAATGTTTGCATGATAGATTTGTTGATGGATTTGTTAAATAAATAACTAATCATCAAGGATTTGCAAATCCCAAATCAATATGTGGGATTTACAAGTCCGTGGGGTCCACGGATTTGGTTCCAAAATAAAGACCAAATCCGTGGACCCCACGGATTTAGCACCCTTCAACAAACAATAGACTTATGTTAAATCCATCAAACTTGGGATTTGGTACCCAAATCCATGACCCAAATCCAACAAGCAAATGACCCCTTAGTACAATCCATCATTTTTGTAGTTGTAAATGGCAAATTGCCAACTGCTAGCTAAATTCATTAGGATCTTTTTGAAGACTAAGTATAGGCGCTTGTATTTATTCATGGGTCAATCCAATTATAGAGTTTGGTACCTATTTTTTATAATGACTTTTTATTTATTAGTACCTAAACTTTTTTAAAATTTTTGTAATGATCCAAACTTTATTAAAATCCAATCTATGATCAATCTATGAATATCTTCATACAAATGGTGAGCTGGGCAATGAAATTAAGCAAGCTCGACATCACATTTACCACACAAGTCTATCCAGTAATCCCCAACCTCCGATCCCCACACTTGCTTTCTCGTTGTTCCACAGAAGAAACCTGTAAAAGGCGCCTAGATTTTTCAACAAAGGTAAGAAAAAGGCACCTAGAGGAGGAGCCCTCCAAAGCTGCAGTCACCTTGATTTCTTTATACCAGTCCCTGTCTCCAGAATTGTAGCTGCTATCTTTGCTTCTTTCTTTTGTTGTTGTGTATGTATTTCGTGTGTGTGGCTATTGAAAGAAGAAGAAAGGAATGGAATAGAACTGGGACTTACAGTCGTCTCTTTTATGTCCTTTGTGGTTAATTGGCAGTCTGTGGGGTAAGAGAAAAGAAAGCACTGTTTGTTTATCGTTGGGACAGTTGGTATGGTGTTTTTCAATTTTCAGGGGAAAGGAGAGGGAAGTCTGGAAGTTTTTTGTATTTTGTTTGTGGGTAGGAGAGGAAGTGGATGTGTTTATGTCTGTGTTTCTAACTGTGTTTTTTTTAGGAGGAAGAGAACTGCATGGAAGAAGACGAAGGGTGTTCTGAGGAAAAAAGAAGCCTCTATTTGGCAGAGGTTGTATAAGAAGAAAAAGGATCAAGAAGAAGAAAATGGTCTTTGACAAGAAGTTTGGGAGAGAAGAAAAAGTTCTCATTCACTGGGTTTCAAACCCGCAATATGGAGGACAAATTAAACAGAAAAAAGTTCTCATTCACTGAGGACTGAGCTACCCAACCCTCATCTAACATAATTTCATACTGAACAATTTTATACAAATACTTCAGTTTATACGAAATTTCCAAACACCAATATAATTTATACGTAACATTTCGAATTCTGGGGGCCGATATACCAAGTGTAGCTCCGCCCCTGGCCGGAAGTACGTCTTCTTTCGCGGGTCTATGTGGGTAGTAGGAACTAGGAACTAGGAAGGCATCGCCGGAAATGAAGAAGGAAGGTATCGCCGGAAATGAAGATTAATGCCGGCCGGCCTAATTAAACATCTACAAATTAAAGAGCACCAAAGACGACAGAACTGAGAGAGAAAAAGAGACTATGGCTAACAAAACTGTCTTTCTTCATTTAATTATTGAATTTTCTAAGGCTGCAACTCTCCTCCACACGGCAGCTAGCCCGGCTCAAAATTTTCCAGCCTGAGCACTATAAATAAGGCCGGCTGGAATGCATCATATATCAAAACACAAAAGAACACCATTTTTCTTAAACAAACACAATATATATAGAACGAGAACGATCGATGATGAACTCTGGAACCATGTTGATCAGAAGGAGAATCTCTCCATCTCTTCTTCTTCTGGCCATGGCTGCCGCAGTACTCTTTCTCCACGCGGATGTTGGCCGATCTCCAATCTTTGCAGGTGATCGATTATATATATGTTTGATGAATTTTCGTTCATTTTCCTCCGATCCATCATATTATTATCCCTCTCTACATATTTTGTGTTGCTTGCTTGTGTGTATAGCTGCGCATTTTGTGAAGAACTGTAGAGGAGTGACAGTGGTGAGTACAACGGACACGTGCTGCGATGTGGTGAGAAGAGACGGCATCACAATGAAGCAGCTCTTCCGTTTAAACCCGCATCTGGATTGCGACAAAATCCACTACGGGATGATGCTCTGCACCACGGGTTAAATGTTACTGCATGCATGCAGACATTGCGTAGCCATGGAGTTCTTCCATCTCAAGAAATAAAATTAGCATTTTATTTTTGAGTACTTGTCTCTCCAACGTAATAATCTACTCTCTTTTTTTTCTTTTCTTCCAATGAATGAGTTCCATATATGGAAATCTGGTTTACTTCATTGATTACAAGTATAGGCTTGAACTCGATCTAATGATAATCTATTCGAATATCTTCAGTATCATTTAGCTAAAAAAGCAAAACTACATAGAAAAAAAGGAATTTAGTACTACAATCCACCATTTTTGTAGTTGTAGATGACAAATTACCAAATGCGAGCTAAATTTGTTAGGATCATTTTGAAGACCAAGTATAGGCTTGTATTTATTGATGGGCCAATACAATTATTAGAGTTTGGTACCTATTTTTATAATGAACTTTTATTGGTACCTAAACTTTTTAAAACTTTCATTATGATCCAAGTTCAATTTAAATGCCACTTGGATCTATAAATCCACAAATTATTTGAATCCATATATATCTAATTTCTTATTTCTCATAACAATACCAGCCTATAAAAAATATTACATAGACTGAATTAGGCGTATGAGAAACGATGAGTAGAATTTCAAGTCTTTCTGACATAGTAGGCAGTTCAACACAATGTGGCTCCGCCACTCTTGATAGTCACCTTTGAATATATAATTCGATATATTTCGGTTTAATTTCAATATTACTCCTGAACGATAACTGTGGTTTACTTTTTTTTCACAAAAAGAATATCTTAATATTCTCAAATGGTATTTCATCGGTACGAAATGATTGAACAACGGTAGTATCATAGAATACCTTACCACCAACGAGTCTAGTATGACTTCTAGTACGATGTTACAAATGGTATTATATAAACCTACCGAGAGAGGACTTGAAAAGTGAAAAATGAAGGTAATTTTTGGAAACGTTCAAACACATGCTCCCTTCTCTGTTTCCACCTACGTGCCTATAGATGTCAATCGGGCGGGATCGGGGCGGGTTCAATTGGGTTGCGGGTTAGTCGAGTTTCGGGTTTGTTGGATTGTGGGTTCATCAGTTCGGGTTCAATCGAGTTCGGTTTCAACCGGATTGCGGGTTAGTCGGGTTTTGGGTCGGACTGGATACGGGCGGATCGGGTTGCGGGTTGTTCGGGACAGCGCATCGAGTCACTTACTCCTTACTTGCTACCAATTTACACATTTTATTACACTAATTTAAAATATTTTTCACAATTTTTAACCAACTTATTTCTACCTCATATGTATACTTAATTTAAAAAAAACTAGTCAAAATGTTGAATCAATTTGAATGATTTACAAACTTGTAATGTAATTAATCATAATTAGTAAAATGCACTAGCTAATAGTAATGGCGATATCAACATTTGCAACCAATAGACACTATTAGCAAACCAAACAAAACACCACTCTAAAAACAAAGAAGAAAAACACTTTTTCTTATCTCAACATTTTTTGGCGACAATATCACAATATAGATTAATCCAAACGAAATTGGGTGGCAATATAGATAAATCCAAATGAAAATTGGGCGGCCTTTTGGAGCGGGAATGAAGAAGTTGGGCGGCAATATATATCAAGCAAAAAGAAAATTGGCCGGCAATGCAACGGGAAGCAAAATTGAGTAAAAAAGAGACATGAATTATATATAATAAATTACAAGCTTAATTCTCATTGAAGTATAAACTTTTTTTTAACAAAAAAAAAATGAATCAAGGTTCATGTGAATGTTTTGCAATTCGTTGTCAATCAATAATCTTAATTTATATCCATATGCAAAATCTAGACAGTGCACTAATATTATCAACAACGGTTTATGGGAGATGAAAATCGAGCTTAATAATAAAGGAATTGAAACGTTGGTGGGTCGAATTGGGTGGATTTTTCCCTCATTAGATTTTCATTTTGGTATGAACTAATTTTAGAGGGAAAATAAAATAGGAAGAACGAAAAGTGGTGAGAGAAACATTGGAGAAGTGAAAAGTTGGGTTGAAAAAATCAAAATGAGAGGGAGGAAGTTTCCCACATAAATGAAAACATGTTCTCAAATCTATTATATCAAATTAGTCATGCCTATAAGTTATAGTAAAGTTTGTTATAGAGTATGAACAATATTTTAGTCACTAAATGCTACCTCCTAAATCATCATATGTAAACATTGTGATAATTAATTAAACTCGTAAACCATCATATGTAAACATTGTGATAAACTCTCTCTTCTTTCTCTTAAAAAATTAAATACAAAATTTCCCCCTTATAAAAAAATAGTTTTACTTAGTCTTAAAACAAAACCTCATTTTGAAATTTTATATAATATAGTAATTATTCTGGTCAATCAGGCGGGTTACGGGTTAGTAAGGTTCGGGCCAATCGGATTCAAATTAATCGGATCACAGATCAATCGGATTGCGGGTTATTAACTTTTAATCAATTTGGGTTGCGGTCGAATCACGAGTCGGATTTGACATACTTACCCAATTTCTCCGTACACCACCCAATTAAATGTCTGATGGAAGTAAGCCACAAAACAAAGAAATTAAACGTACTGTTTTCCGGCGAGAAAACCTCTTGCGTTGAATTGAGATAGATTGCACCTTTGACTTCTATGGACAACGATTTGTAAGACACGGCTCAAACCTCTTCAAACAAAGTTCGAACGAGGGTGTTTGATTGATGATTTTTGGAACCGAGATCTAAATTAAATTACTTCTTTGGGTAACGATTACTAAGACACGGCTCACACCTCTTCAAACAAAGTTCGAACGAGGGTGTTTGATTGATGGTTTTTGGGAACGAGATCTAAATTAAATTACTTCTACTCCTATGGAGGTTCTGAGAGAGCTCCAGATCTACGACTATTGATAAAAATTTGCAGAGGAAAGACAAGATTGAAAAACTTGACAAGTGGTGTCGAGTGGTAATTTTTGCGGGGCTCTCCTCTGTCGACTCCTCCTCCTATTTATAGGCCTTGAGATGATAACCGCCGTAGAAACTGTCATAGAGTAACTTCCAAAAAGAACTGCTCCCTGCTTCCTCGGAACATGGCTGCCGTGTCCTTTGAACGTGGGATGAGTAGCCGTTACTTCTCAACTGCCTAGGTACCTCTCTTGAAACCGTCGTAGGATCTTGTAGCTTGCCGCATATATCACGGTCATGGACTTCCTTACTCATGTCCATGGCCCTCTTGGGACTTAGTCTCTAGTGATATAATATTTCATCCCCATGTCATTCTCCTTCGTGTCCATGGCTCCTCTTGTGAGGCGGCATGGCCCCTCAGAATTATCATATGGCATGGCCTCTTGTTTGCACCCATGGACCTCTCAATCATGGACATGGCCTCCCTCATGAAGCAGCAAGTCCTTCCCTATACTTAGAATATTTTTGGTTATTTGATTTAGATCATGAGGCGGCATTGCCTCTTTATTCGCGACCATGGACTTCTTATTCATGTCTGTGGCCTCTTCCTTTGGAAGGCATTGGCCTCCTCATACTTAGTATTTTTCACGCGCCCAGGTCCTCTTGTCTCGTGTCCATGGCTGTCACATATGACACGGCCATGGACATCTTAATCATCCACATGGCCCTATATTTTCATACTTAGAATATTTTTCACATACCGGGCCTTCCTTGAGATAGCATGTGCTTCTTTATTCTAGATGGACGTGTTCTTCTTTGATGAGACGGCATGGCCTCTTCCGGACTTAGTTAAATTTTCACTCCTTCGGTCGTATTGGTGAGGCGGCATGGCCTCTTCGTTGAGTCGGCATGGCCTCTAGATCTCATACGGACGCGACTTTGTTTGATGAGGTGTGAGCCGTGTCTTAGTAATCGTTACCCAAAGAAGTAATTTAATTTAGATCTCGGTTCCAAAAATCATCAATCAAACACCCTCGTTCGAACTTTGCTGTCAAGATCATGTATGTCACCTCGTAATGGGAAGGCTAGTGGAGATCAAGTCGATTTTGATCAACTAGCACCAGAAGCTTGTCCACCCTCATTGCCACCCCTAGTCAATGGGTATGGTGGATGCAAACCACCTAAGGGGCGGGAAGAGGGGCATAGAAGGTTACCGCCTGACAAGTTGAACGTGAAGTGTCAGGCTGGGGGGCACGTTGATGTCAAGGAAGGTGTACAAAGGGGTTTGTTCAAGAGAACACGACATTATTTGTCTAAGTATGGCAAGGGGGGCATGCCACCAACCACAAGTAGTGGACAAATAAGCATGCATAAGAAGCCAAAACAAGTCCAAACCACACATGCATATGATAAGCGTGTTAGCCTGGCTAAACCTGGACATGGGGGCATGTCACCCATCCTGAAGAATGAAGTAGGGGGCAAGGGTTGGAAGACACAACAGATCCAAGCCACCCATGGCTTTTACAAGTGTAAAACTATGGTTAAGTCTGGACAAGAGGGCATGCCACCAATCATCAACAGTGGACATGAGGTCAAGTCCAACAAGAAAAGATGTGAGAAAGCCAAAAAGAGTTCTCATAGTGTTGAAAATTTAGCTAAGTATGGGCAAGGAATCATGTCACCCACCATGAATAATGGAGTAGGGGGCATGTCCAAGAATCTAAAAGAATTTCAACCTACACATGCTTGTGATAAGTACGCAAGTTTGGCTAAGTGTGGACAGGGGGGCAAGTCCATGTCCATGAGTAGTAAGTACATGCCATCAATCATGAATGATGGATATAGGGGCATGCATAAGAAGGTATCATACGCACAAACCAGACATGGCCTCACAAAGAACCAAGGATGGTCGTGTGCTAAGGGTAGGAGCCAACAAGGTTTGGAGGTTGAAAGACAAAGTCAAGTGGGCCACATGGGTGGTCGCCAACTTGTCAAAACTGGACATCGTCTCCAACAACATGAGGGGAGTAAGCATGTCTCAACCATGAGGAATCCAAGGCAGAGGAAAACTCATGGTTGTCTTGACATGTCAAGTAAGGTGGTCAAAGCACAGGAGCATGGGACCCCATGTAAGGCCACCAAAGCTAGACATGTTGATCATATACCACCCACTGGTAAGCTAATGTATGGAGAATCATGTTCCATGGAGGAAAAGAGGCATGTTGTATATGGCTGGCTTGCATGTTTTAATCCATGGATTTGGCAGTGGGTGTACACCTTTGGCGCATTAGTTGTTGCCAGAGGCGATGGAGAGTAGTGACGTTTGTCACTCCTTGTTATCTTAAATAAATAAATATCATATATATTAATTAATAAATAAAAGCCAATCAGGGCTCTATAAGAAAAAAAATAGAGAGAAAATAACAAAGTGGTAATTTTGAGTTGAAGTCATTAGACTTTGATGTGAAGATCTTACCACCAAGTCGTAGTGATGGCTTGGCATACCGAGTCGTAGATTGCGTCTTTCCATGCTATGTCATCTTGTCCCAAGTGGCCACCAGTTTGGATGTTGGCCACGACCTAAGGGCATCGTGCGTTGGAGAAGAGTGATGGCCAGCTTGAGCATGTAAAATAAGAACAATGTAGGGGCCTCACTGAATTGTTGACGAGAAGCCAACAAGGCAAGGGGTTCTCGTTGCTACACATGAATGAAGACAACATAGGCGACATAGCTAGCCACTTGAAAAAAGTAGGTATCATGGTGTTGTTTTAGGGGGGAAAATTTCAAGTTTTATTGAACCTATGGTCATGGGTGAGTAGAGACAAGCCTTGTTACTCGAGGACCAGTTAGAGAAGGGATATAAGTGGTCAAGTCGGCCTCAACTACTTAGTCCATAATCCTTATGCACTATGTAGTTGGGGGGCATTTGTTTACACCATAAATGTTGTCTTGTACCACATTGGTGAGTTACAAGATAATCAAGGAGTTTATAAGGCCACACCCATTATAACAATTAATGTTCTTTAAATTGGGCCTTATGGATATTGATTTTAATGAGCATGGACATGATTCAATAAGGGACATGGGCCTCTCGTAAGAGGCCATGCCATGCCACGAGATGACATTAAAATTTCTAAGTATGAGAAGTCCATGGCCATGAATGAAGAGGCCATGCCGCCCCATGACCAAGGGCCTAATGACTGAAAAATAAACTAAGTCTGGAAGAGGTACATGCCGCTTCAAGGAGAAGCATGTGCCACTTCAACGAGAGGTCCATGCCGCTTCATGAGAAGGGGCATGGACGCGAGACAAGATGAGATGTCCACGCCACTTCACGAGAAGGGGCATGGACACAAGAAAAGATACTAAGTATGAGAGGGTCATGCTGTGTCACGAGAAGGGCCACAAACATGACTGAGAAGTCCATGGCCGCGAATGAGGAGGCCATGTCGCCTCATGATCCAAAATATACTAAGTCTGAGAAGGTCATGACGCCTCACGAGAAGGGACATGTGCATGATTAAGAGGTCCATGGCCGTGTCATGTGATGGCCATGGACACGAATGAGAAGGGTCATGGACGCGAGACAAGATGAGACGTCCATGCCACTTCACGAGAAGGGGCATGGACGCAAGAAAAGATACTAAGTATGAGAGGGCACTGCTGTGTCACGAGAAGGGCCACATACATGACTGAGAAGTCCATGGCCGCGAATGAGGAGGCCATGTCGCCTCATGATCCAAAATATAATAAGTCTGAGAAGGTCATGCCGCCTCACGAGAAGGGTCATGTGCATGATTAAGAGGTCCATGGCCGTGTCATGTGATGGCCATGGACGCGAAGCAAGAAGCGTTAGAAATGATTGAAAATACTAAGTATGGAAAGGCCATGCCGCCTCATGAGAGGGGCCTTGTGCATGATTGAGAAGTCCATGCCACTTCACAAGAGTGGCCATGGACACGAATGAGAAGGGGGTGGTGGTGGAGCACTATATCAATAATGACTACGTCCCAAGTGGGCCATGGACATGGGTAAGAAGTCCATGGCCATGAGACAAGAGAATCATGACCCCCCTTTGCAAGACACCACATGCTCGTCAAAAGACTAGCATGGCACGAGATTCAGAACAAGACCAGGCGAGGCAAGCTATACTCCAAAAGCCACGACAGTTCCAAGAGAGGCACCTAGGCGGTTGAAGGAGTAACCACCACTCCAAGGAAGCAGGGAGCAGTTCTTTTTGGGAGTTATCCAATAGGCGGTTTTCTACCGAAGAAGGAGGAGCGGTTCTTTGTAGCAGTTATCCAACAAGCGGTTTTTTATGGCGGTTACCTCCTCGGGCTATAAATAAGAGGAGGGGTCGACAGAGACAAAAGGTTCCAAAACCAACACTCTGACACACATGTCAAGTTTATCCTTTACCTTTTCTCTATCATGTAGCCATAGATGTAGTTCGTAGTTTGGAGCTCTCGTCGAACCTCCATAGGAGTAGAAGTAATTTAATTTAGATCTCGTTCCCAAAAACCATCAATCAAACACCCTCGTTCGAACTTTGTTTGAAGAGGTGTGAGCCGTGTCTTAGAAATCGTTGTCCATAGAAGTCAAAGGTGCAATCCATCTCAATTCAACGCAAGAAGTTTTCTCGCCGGAAAACAAATTTGGCACACCTGGTGGGACAATTGTGTTTGATTTGATGGCTCCACGACTGAGAGAACAAGAAGGGGATCTTTCACCTGGGTTTGTGATGGATCTTGTCGCCAATTTTGAACTTGGCCAAGAAAGAAAAGGATTGGTCGGAAACAATGGCAAGGTAGAGGCTTTGCCACCGCCGGCACCTTCTGTCAAAGTAACCACCACCGTCATGTCACGCCATTTGATAGTGGAGGAGACACAGAAGATGACGACGGAGAACCGCCTAGCCATGGAGAAAAACCTCCAGGCCATGGAGGAGAACCGCCAATTCATGGAGGAAAGCTGGGATGAACTTGTTAGATGTTCACATCAGACAAGTCTCAAACTTGCTTCTCTTAGTTCCACCTTAGATAGAAGGTTGGACCAATTATTTGAAGTATTTATAAAAAATAAAAATTTCTTGGATAAGTTTAAAAATGATTTTATAGATCCAGTGGTGCAAGAAATATCTTTACCAAATAATGGTATAGATCCACCACCAAGTATTTCTACTAAGGATACAATTATTATGGTCTCCGGTGGTCGGACTGCCCAACCACGGTCAGGGAACTCGTCGCCTCCGGTGACAGGTCAACCCCCTTTTTTACGTGGTGGTTATGGCGAGAATCTCACTCACAAGTTCTCCACCCACATAGAGCAACCGCTTGTGCAGACAGTTACACAAGAAACTGTCTTGCTGTCAAGATCATGTATGTCACCTCGTAATGGGAAGGCTAGTGGAGATCAAGTCGATTTTGATCAACTAGCACCAGAAGCTTGTCCACCCTCATTGCCACCCCTAGTCAATGGGTATGGTGGATGCAAACCACCTAAGGGGCGGGAAGAGGGGCATAGAAGGTTACCACCTGACAAGTTGAACGTGAAGTGTCAGGCTGGGGGGCACGTTGATGTCAAGGAAGGTGTACAAAGGGGTTTGTTCAAGAGAACACGACATTATTTGTCTAAGTATGGCAAGGGGGAAAAATAAAAATGGCTCATGAAGAGGAGGCTAAGGTCACCACTCACTCTTCTCTTCAAAAAGAGTTGGCCAAAGGAAAACAAACATCGAGTGAAGTAGCTACGTTCCAAGCTAAGGAGGCTACCCGCAAGGCCAGGATTGCTGAGCTTAAGGCAGAGCTTGAACGTCTTGAAGAAGAAGAGGCTCAAGAACGAGATCAAAAGGAGTCCCTAGCACGAAATCTTAATGAAACAACGGCCACCATTCGTGCTCTTCGCCAGAAAGAAGGATCCCTCATGGCTGTAAACGAGATTGCTCTTCAACGAGCCAAAGCGAGCTTCATGGATCGTGAAAGCAAGACCAAGCTCAACAAGTTGAAGGCTAGCTTTGAAGAAATTCTCAAGTCACTCAATGCTTAATTGTCTTTGTTTTATTCCTTGACAGTCGGCTTGGCCATGGTTTGGCTCTTGATTTGTCGGTTTTTTTCTTTCGGATTTTGTAACTCGTTTTACATGACTTTTTAAGATTTTCGTGGCCCCTTTGTTTATCACCATGATGTTGTGTTCTCTTAACGCCGGACGGCCACTTGATCCGAACAGGGTGGTAGCCCGTTATATTTTTTTTCACAAAGCCCCGTGGCTTACTTAGTCAAGCCTGGCTTCACATAGAAAGCCACCAACTCCCATGTCCTTCACATACAATCTTGTGGTGGTTGAAATCAAACTTAGATCTTTTTCCTATATTGAAGCCAACCCACTTGCTTTAGGAGCCCAGATGGGTGGCCTCAACTCTCTCAGCACTAACACTTTCACCACCAATCCACACGACCACCTAGCCCTTTCCGCCTTCTCATGCGACTTCCCATACGACGCACTTTTCCTTAGCCAAAATTTCGGCTCTTTCATAAAAAAAAAAAAAAAACAACATGGCCCGGCTCTCATGGAGGAAAAGAGTCATGTGGTCTATGGATGGTATGTCTGGTTTGATCCATGGACTTGGCAATGGGTGTACACCTTTGGTACATTGATTGTGGCCAAAGGCTATGGAGAGCAGTGACATTTGTCACTTCTTGCCATATAAAATAAATAAATTTATATAATGTACTTATTATATATTAGTTATAAAAAAATATATTGTAGCCAACCATGGCTAAGAGAAAAGATAGAAGGAAAATATCAAAGTGAAAATCTTGAGTCGGAGTTGTTAGACTTCGACATGAAGATCTTGCCACCAAGTCATTGTGATGGCTTGACATGATGAGCTATACATCAGGCCATGCCATGCCATGTTATCTTGTCCCGAGTAGCCACGGCCTGGGGGGCATGATGGCTTGAAAGTGGTAGTAGAGGAGTGGTGACCATAATGTCTCTACCAACATAAAAATGAACATTATTTTTTCTAAGGCAAAAAAGTAGACGGCTTGACTTGTCGCGATGGAGCCAAAAAAGAACACGTCCATCTAGAATAAAGAAGCACATGCTATCTCAAGGAAGGCCCGGTATGTGAAAAATATTCTAAGTATGAAAATATAGGGCCATGTGGATGATTAAGATGTCCATGGCCGTGTCATATGTGACAGCCATGGACACGAAACAAGAGGACCTGGTGGCCTCGTACTCGGCCTGGTTATTAGTACATGGGACATCAAGAGTAAAAGCAAAAGACATGGCACGCCCGGATGGGGCAGTGAGCACCACCCCAGCCCCTGCTCCCGAACGTGTCTTCGAACCGTCAAAGTATAAAGTCCAAGGGGCTTCACTAACCATCCCTATCTCCACTAACTCGGGAGGCACGTGCACACATGGGTGGTCGGCCAAGAAATCGGCTAAGGCTTGGCCTTTGATGGCCTTTTGTGGTACGTACTGTAAATTGAACTCAGATAGTGCAAGTGTCCACTTACCAATCCTCCCATGGATGATTGGTCGGGACAACATATATTTAATTACGTCGGTCTTACATATGAGTTGGACTTGAACAGGCATCAAGTAATACCTTAGCTTCATACATGAAAAATATAAAGCCAAACACAATTTCTCTATGGCAGAATACTTTTGTTCGGCCGTGTTCAACAATCTACTTAAGTAATACACGGCCTGTTCATGACCTGAATCATTGTCTTGAGCCAACAGACACGCAATAGATGTGTTAGTGGCTGAAAGGTACAACTTCAAAGGCCGACGTGGAATGGGAGAGTTGAGCACCGGTGGGCTCACCAAGTATCTCTTGATGTCATCAAAAGCTTGTTGATGCTCTTGACGCCATACAAAATCCTCCTCCTTTTTTAACTTCAGCAACGGGGAGAACACCTGAGTCCGGCCCGCACAATTCGAGATGAAGCGTCGAATGTAGTTAACTTGGCCGAGGAACCCTTGCAGCTCCTTCTTATCACGTGGTGGCATGGCCTCTATGATGGCCTTGGTCTTGCTTTTGTCAACCTCAATGCCACGTTGGCTCACAAGGAACCCTAAGAAATCACCTGCGGACACACCAAATGCACACTTAAGTGGATTTAGTTTCAATTGATGGCTTCTCATACGTAAGAAAGCCATGCGTAAATGAGAGAGGTGTTGTCTTGCTACCTTGGACTTGACCACGATGTCATCCACATACACCTCCACCAACTCACCAATCAAGTCATGAAAGATAGTATTCATAGCTCGTTGGTAAGTGGCGCCCGCATTTCTCAACCCAAAAGGCATGACCACCCATTCGTAGCATCCAATCGCTCCTGGACACCGAAACGCGGTCTTGTGGATGTCTTCCTCAGCCAAGTAAATTTTATTATAGCCTGAGTAACAATCCATAAAAGAAAAGGTTTCATGCCTAGTCACTGCATCGAGCAACATGTCAGCAACTGGCATGGGGTATTCATCCTTAGGAGTGGCTAGATTCAAATTCCTAAAATCTACACACACTCTTATCTTGCCATTCTTCTTTCTAACTGGCACTACATTAGACAACCACCTCACATACCTAGTTGTTCTTATGAACCCGGCTTTTAACAATCGTTCAATCTCTTTCTTTATCTCTGGCAAAACCTCGTAAGCAAAGTGCCTAGGCGGCTGCTTGTAAGGCCTAAATCCAGGGCTAATTGGCAACCTATGCTCTACCAACTTTCTATCTAGACCAGGCATTTCATGATAATCCCACGCAAAGCAATCTTTAAATTCTTTCAATAAGTTTATTAACTCGTACCTGTCTTGCTCAGAGAGCATGGCACTGATGAAGGTTGGGCGCGGGTCCTCTTCAGTGCCAAGATTGATTTCTTCCAGGATATCGCGAGAAGTCATGTGATCCTCCTCTTCCTCAGCCATACTTGGCCCCTCGCCTTCTTCAGGCGAATCCTCTTCGGGAACACAGTCAGCCACCAGCACAAGCTCCTCCCAAGCTAGCCTCTGTTCGAACTGATAAATGGCCAACCTCCCCATCAAGGCCGTGACTTCGGCCTCCCTCGCCACCTTGTCTTGTTGTGGCTTACTCATCATCATCTTTTACTTCAGCCTTAGGTGGACCATCAAGAGATATCATAGATGGTCTCACTATCTCTGAGAGTGGATCGATGCAAGCTTTGCTCAAAACCTTGGCACTTGAGAATACCACGGTACAAGACCCACCATCCATACTACTAACTTGAAGTGGCCCAAAGTCTCCATCGTATAATGGAGCTTCGGCCACGTTGGCTCCCACGGCAAAAGGCTTGGCGTCTGCTTGTACCACTTCGACCATACCTTCTTCATTCCAGAACATCAAACATTGATGAAGCGAAGATGGGACACACTTGTTGGTATGGATCCAGTCTCTTCCCAACAAAGCATTGTAACTTATCACCCCATCGACAACAAAGAAAGCAGACATCCTTTCTTGACTACCCACTCTCACCATGACTGGCAAAATTCCTCTTGCTGAAGTTGATCCTCCATTAAAACTTGTAACAAAGATATCCGTAGGAATCAAATCACCAGTGTTCTTCCCAAGTTTCCTTAACATAAGAGTTGGCATCACGTTCACAGCAGCTCCGTTGTCAACCAAGACTCTTGACATGGGCACACCATCAAGTCTAGCCTTAATGTAAAGGGGTTTCAAATGCTTTATCATACTCGGCTCGGGCTCTTTGAACACCACCAAGTGGCTTGACTCATCACTTGCAGTTTCCTTCATAACCTGTTTCCCCTTCGAGGTGGCTACATGCATGACGGCCTCTTCTTCTGGTGTGCCTTCATCGTTTGCCAATGAACTTTCTTGCTCCTCCTCGAACCCCGATCCCCACGTAGGGTTCTCAATAGCCGATGATGATGTTGCTTCAGGTCCCTGGTACAATACGTAGAATGGGTACCGACCATCATCTTCTCCCAGCAAACCAACGTTCCTGTGGCCTGCCTCGTGGAGTTCCCTCAAAATTCGTTGAGAACTCTTGCCTTGCCTTGCCGTCTCGACGGCTAGATCTATCCTACTTCCCAAACGAGCCATCCTCACACTCCATGGCTCATCACTAGCTTCGAGACGGGCGAATGCTTCAGTCAACTCAGCAACCGCTCCATCTTCATCATTTGCTTCTTCCACGTCTTCGCTCTCTATATCTCCGTCACGATCTTTTTCGTTAAATTGGAAAACCATGGGCAGTATGTAGTTAGTAACAACCACCGGTGGCAAGCTTCCGAATTGGATAGTCGTAGCAGGCGCTTGGCCGTCCTCATCATCTTTGTCACCCCTATTGAACTTGGAGTTGGGCAGATCATCTTCAAGCATATCATCTTCCGCATACTCATCTTCATAGTCGCCTTCTTCTCTTTCGAAGTTATCATCAACCCCTCCTGGAGCTTTGACTTCACTCTGACCTTGAACTTGCTTGCCTTTGTCTATTACACCCACTTTGAACCCTGTGGTCTTGGAGTTGACCAGCTTGAGATTTGGTTGAAGACTACCTTCTCTCCTCCATTGTGTCACACCCCGTATGTTTCCACGAGCCATTGGCAATTGGCCTTGACGTGCTTGTGCGTTCTTGCGAAGGAACCTTCTTCTTTGGGTCCTTGTCATCTCAGCCACGGCTACTGGTTGTTGACGACGAGAATCATATGTATGCCATCCACCACGTGGAACATCTGGCATCTTGAATGTTCTCCTCTTTTGGAAAGGAGCATGGGCGACCCATTGTCTCGGTTGCCCCCAAGCTGGTTGCTTCACTCCTTCCACCTGTCTCTCGTATGGCGGGTACTTCGGCCTTGGCCTATTGGGAAAACCAATTCTTTGATGAATCGATGGCCTCGGCTTCTCTTCGTCAAGTTTGAGACTCTTCTTGCACTGAGCACACAACTTGTCAACTTCATCAGTCAACGTTGCGGCCGGGCTAGCCTGTTTGGTACCCGACGAGCTCCCTTGCTCGAAAACCACATTGGGATTCCTTCGAGGTGGCGTTGTATCTAACACCAGCTTAAAACGTGGCAATTCAACTTTGGAGAAGTCTGGGTTGACCATGTTGACACCAAGCACTTTGGGGAACGGATCAGTGTCCACCAACATGGCATCCTTCTTCGCCTCAGGGAACTTGATGCGTCCCTTATCAATGGCATCCTGCAAGACATTACGGAACACCACACACGAATCAGTGGCATGTGACATGCTATTATGCCACTTACAATACTTTTTCCCTTTTAATTTCTCGGGTGAGGGAAAAACATGCCCCCCTGTCAACTTGACTTGACCATCCTTATAGAGTTGGTCAAAAATCAAGTCTGCCTT